TGTTCTACTAAATTCGTCCGGCATGTCAGGGTTCATAGCATGGCTTCGATTTCATGCAATTGGGTTCTAATGCCGTGAATTCGAAGTTGCTATCAGAATTGAAATTGCTCGGATCTAATCTAAATCCATACCCAGGTATATTCGGAAGCGCATCCATGGAAAATCCGCAATGGAATAAAGATTGCTCCAGCCAGCACACTGACGAGTTGCGAGTCGATGGCCTCGATGTTATTTTGGCATCCCTCTTTCAAGTAGTTAGAGATAAAATTGTCACTCGTATGGCTCAAGTATTATTATAATATTACAGGTAAAAGTCATAAAATCAGTGAGCAATAATAATCCTTTGACAGATGAACGTCAGCTTATTAATCTGGTGGATTCCGTGAGAATGAAGATGCTTGTTTCGTTTCGAACTCGAAGAGTTTCAGATCGGGACCATGTGACCTTGTCACAAACTTGGTTCCGAGAAACCGTCGGAAGACAACGTAAACATCTAGCCACCAACAACAAATGAGGGGTACTGCCATTTTGAGCCCGTTCAAACGAAGTGAATCGCCCAGTCAACTGATGAGAGGCAACCCAGACTGCTCAAGCGGGTCACCAACATGCCCAATTGTGCAGGATACTGCCGGCCTATAGAGAGGTGCGCCTCCATGAGCTGGCCAATCAGAGCATCCAAGACCACTGCATTCTTGGCGCGACCAGAGCTGAAAACTGACATACGTTAGATCCCATTACGGTAGCGCAAACGAAACACCTGATTTCCGCCTCGACTTTCCTCGTCCCTTTTTTTCTTCTCATGTTTCTCCTCCAGAGAAAACGTCATCTGATGAATGTCATCCATCAAACCTGCAGAGTCCGCAAAAAGTCCAGAAACATCTTACGACAATGACGGATTAGCAATATCAAAGGCAGCATCCATCTTGCCGCGACAGGCTTGTCTCGGAGAGTGTTTGCGGGCCTCGTCATCCTTTCTCGGCTCATCGTGGAACAAGAAACCACACATCAATCACTGCTGTGTTTTGCCCGTAATACATGTCCTCGTATCCATACCTACCCTTGGGACCATTGGTTTCCCATGTCTCAATCGATTTTCCCGTCTCGTGTCTCTGTGATCATTTACTTCTTTTACGGCAGACAACGACAGCAGATTCTCGCTCTTATCTTATTGATGGGCCCTCATGACCAGCTAGGTTGAAACCTCTACTCTCTCTGCCTCGAATCGGCAGGGTGAAATAACATACTATTCAACGCCCGAATGTATCTTACGATTCGTTATTTGCTGCAAGAGGTGAAAGTGAGGCCCGGGCTACTCATTGCCATTGCGCCACCATGGCCTTGACCATTAAGCATCTCAATTCAGACGCCTCTTTTCTGTTGTCCTTTGAGCCCGTCGGCGCCAATGCCGATCCCGCGAGAGGGCCGGTGGCGGTTTCGCGGCCCTTTACAATCCTACTGGACCCGTGGCTGACAGGCCCTTCCAACATATTCCACCCAAAGTTTTCGACCACGACGCAAACCGTAGCTCCGTGTGTGTCCTCGTTGGCCGAGCTGTCTGTGGAGCCGGACTTGGTCATTATTAGCCAGCCCAAGAGCGACCACTGCAACGAGGCGACTCTCCGCCAGCTGCCGGCCTCGGGGACCAGGACGCTCATTCTCGCCGAGCCCGCCTCGGCGCGTCTAATTCGAAGCTGGAAGTATTTTGATCGGGAAAAGGTCCGGACTATTGAGTCGTGGAAGGACCCACGAACTGGAGCCAACAATCACCGTAGAGTCTTCCGCATACCGGTCCCGGCCGCCTGGCCCGGCGGTCAGACCGGTGAAGTCACCGTCTGCTGGATCCCACAGAAGCGGGACTTGTCCGGTGTTCACGGCGCCATTGGTATCACGTACCGGCCGCCTCCGAGTCAAAATAATGCTACTGTTGCTGCCGCCGCCGTCAGATCCACAGCGGCGGTCGTCGCGGATATGCTCACTCCGCCTGCGACGCCAGTGACGCCCGTACGCACCCTCATACCGCCGACTTCAGTATCGACGACGCACGTTCACTTGTTCCCTCCCAGTCCCCCTATATCGCCACACTCTCTCCGTTCCGTGCAGTCAGCAGCGGCCCTAATCTCACCCGCAACGCCAAATACCCCCCAACCAAGGCAGTCACTACTAGATCGGTATCTCGCAATGTCGTCGTCGTCGACATCATCATCCCCGACAACACAGGATATTGTCCGGCCCATCTCCCTCGTCTTCTCCCCGCACGGCATCGCCTACGCGGACCTGGCGCCCTGGGCCACGTCGCACCTGGTCGCCGAGGCGGCGCTGCCCCTGACGGCGCTGCTGCACTGCATGGACAGCATCGCCAACCCGTGGTGGCTCGGGGGCAACGTGTGCTGGGGCACGGCGACGGGGGCCGAGATTGCGCGACGGCTGGGCGCCAGGGTGTGGATCTCGGCGCACGATGCCGAGAAGCAGGTCCGCGGCTTGGCTACCGGTCGGCTCACGACGAGACGGTGGGGACGCGAGGAGATTGCGGGTATTCTTGGGAATAGTCATCATCGTCATCATCATCACCGACATGATGCTGCGATAGCGGGGTATCGCGGACAAGACGAGGGTCAAGATGTTGCGCCGTCGCGGCAAGGCAAGGCGGCCTCGGCCTCGGCGGTGCGAGTAGACAAGGAAGTGGAAATTCTCAGGTTGGACAGCGGGGATGAGGTTCTCGTGACCGGGAATGGGCACGTTCTTCATGACTGCTTTTCTCAGGAGGTGAGGTGATGGTATGTTTTGCAGATCCCGAGGGACTCATCTAGATTTACGGTGATATAACCATGAAGATCAGACAGTGCCGCGTCCGACTATCTCTTCACCGACAGCATGGCTATTCAAGGCCTGAGAATATCATTGCGACAATGTTTGAGAGTAGTGCATTTCGGAAGATTTCTTTCTACATAGAGATTGCACAGTAAGCGATAGTATAGACATGAAATCAAAAGAGAATCAAGTTCGACACCATGTTACGCATATTTCTTTTTACGAAACTAATCTGCCACAGAAATCCTTGTGTATTATATCCGTATTGCAAACAATACGCTTGGCTACGAGCTGCGGTCGAGGGGAGAAGAAAGTTACAACAGCACAAACGAGTTCTCCCTCATCAAAGTCGTTGACTTCATCAGATATATCATAGACGAGTAACTTCAGCTTCCAGCCAACCTTGTCAGCCATGAGGATCGAAATGACCAAACACTTTCAAGTAAAAATGATCCATGAATCATATTCAAAATGCTAGAAACAGAAGCTCCCTCTCCTGCCTCGTAGGGTATCTACATATTGTTATGATTTTCTCTCATATGCGGCACAAAATGCAACAATGTGCCTCCATGCTTGGAACCTTGGCTCACTTGTTGCTTGCTCTCAGGTTTCAAGACAGGTCTTCTCATCTTGGCCTGGTCAAATTATCAAAATCTTCGTACAATCCACCTCCCTGAATTACTTGAGCTGCTTCAGAATCTCCTCGAGGAAGTCCTCAAAGCCCAAGGTAATGTAGCCGTCGCGGTCCTCGTCGTACTTCTTGAAGACGTCGGTCATGCGCTTGAGGCTGATACAAGCCTGGACAAACAGATCAAAGCTCATGACACCCTCGTTGCGCTTGTCGTAGGTATCAAAGAGCAGACGAACGAAGCGGGGTGAGAGGCGATAGCGGAAAGCAATGAGGGCATCGGTAAACTCGTCGAGCGAGATGTTACCCGAGTGGTCCTTGTCGAAGCGGTCAAACAGCGTCCGCCACGACGCCAGGAATGACCACAGCCCGCAGAACTCCTGGTACCCAATGGTGCCCGACCTATCGCTGTCAAACATGCGGATCATCATGCGCACCGTGTGAGGATCGAAAGCCGTCCAATCGCCGTTGACCAGCGCGGCGCTGAGCTCCTTCTCGGATAGCTGGCCCGTGCCTGACAAGATGTGTTAGTCAATTGATACTGTCTATATTTGGATATCTCGTGTTCCGCGGCGCGTGACGTGGATTAGGTCTTGCTAGGACACGGCGGGGGGTATCTTGGCGGCTTACCATCTTTATCTACAGCCCTAAAGAGCGGCAAGAGAGTCGGGTCAGTGCCGTCCTGGGGAGCAGGTGACGGCGGCGGACGGCTGGCAGCGGGCGGCCTGTTATGCGTAGTAGGGCGAGGGCCTTGGGCTTGCGGCGGCGGCGACATGGGCGATGTTGATGGGTGGCCGTAGGAGTTGTTGGCTTGCAGCCGTCGGGGGTCCGAGTTCTGGTGAGGACGCGCGGTCTGCTGGGGCAATGGCGGCGGAGGCTTGCTCTCGTATCTAGAGGAAGCGGCAGAGCCAGGCTTCTGCATCGTTGTGTCAGCTAAGATGCGCCTTCAATGAGGTGCACAACCTGAGCAGGAGAAGAGTGCATTCAGGAGCAGCAGCTTGGAGCAGAAGAACGTACAGGCTCTGGCTCGGCGAACCTTGAAATCGACCAATGTCAGCATATATTTATTTCTCTCGTTTATCAAACGCCATGCCGTGTAGCAACCACAAAGACCAGACGCCGGCGCTGGCGCGAGATACACAAAGAGCATGGCCCGAACCAAGTCAATTCATGCGCCGGCAACGGTTCAACGAGACGGGCAGAGACTTGGACACGAAGACGGCTGGCTGGTGGGATGGATGGCGGGGTAGGTGAATGACGAACTTACCTGGGCAGCTCGTCGGGGTTGTACGATCTGTTGTACGCCATTTTGACGGTGCTGAAGTGTCAATTATTACTGGTGATATATAGGGAGAGTCGAAAGAGCTGGCAGCAACAACTGAATTGAAGTCTGACAACTTTATATATAAGCTGCTAAGGTGCCTCGTGATGAGAAGCTCTCAAAAGAGGCTGTGAATCGCAGACAAAGGAGGGAGATACGCAGGGGTGGTGTGGGCAATGGGGGGCCGCCTTTAGTGTAGCCTAGCGTAGGTACTTAGTGTGTGTAGGATCCCAGGCCTAGCAAGTTCAGGTACGTGCTCAGTAGAATCCAGCTATGTAACCTCTAGCAAACCAAGATGTAAGCAGAAAGTGATAGCTTAAGTCAGGTATTGATTAGGTATTTTCATCACAAGTGGATGAGATACATTAAAGGCATAGTAATATCATTTGGCTAGGTGTAAGAAATTCCTCCATCCTTCTTTTGGATTGCAATCAAGAGATCGTTTGCCGTACTATTCGAGTGAGTACTAGCCCTGGCGGTATTGAGGTATACAGCAGGTCAGCCAGAGCCATCAGCAGCCAAAGAGAAAGAAAGAAAAAAAAGAGGCAATAAAGCAAGTACGAGAGGGGGGAAACACCAAATCCAGACTCAAACTTTGGGCTACTGCTCGCGATTCAAAAATTCCTAAAAGAGGACCGAGAGGCTATTATTCGCTAACCGTGCCACACCCCCACTTATCTGGATGTGTTCGTTCCTCACCAACCGTAAGTTGGTGCTGGCCACTTATTTCGCTATACCACCTAGTTCGCCACCTAATACACCACATTTTATCTTTAATTATAACAACTCAATAACCACGTCTATTTAATTAATTAAAATAAGCAATTAGGCTAATCTCGCTATAGCTTATTTACGGGACTATTTAGACGCGAAAATAGCCGTAATTGCGCGTGATTTTAACGTACCGCGTAATACGCTCTAATCACGCGTTAAAGTCGCTAATATGCCGAAATTTAAAAGCCCGATCCGTATATATAATAAAAAGCTATTAGCTGCTAAGGAAATTTTAATTTATAATTATATTAAAAGGTTAAATCGCATTAATTTAGCTATACGCGTTAAATACGTTATTATTATTACTAACGAATTTTTTTAATAGCGCCTTTTATTACCTATTACTAGCGAACCTTTATATATTATAGGATAATACTAGCTTATACGATTTATCAAGCGCCACGGATATATTAAGCGACGTTAAAAGTAATTCGAAGCGAACCGCAAATACGCCGAAAACCGTAAATTTATCGAAAATTATTTTAATTTGCTATAATAGGCTATAGCAAAGCATGGATTTATACCCGATAATATCTGGAATTTTAACGAAACCGGGTTCCGGATTAGTGTGGGCAAAAATTAACAGATTATTACGAAGCGGTATCGAGCCTATTATTTTGCCTTTTTAAAAAACCGCGAATTTTTTATTATTATAAAGGCTATTTTAGCTGCTAAAATAGTAATTCCTCTTTTTATTATACCTTTAGCTTAAATTTACGTTACCTAATAATATTAAAAATCCGTCGGCCTATATTTAAAAGCACGAATTATTTTTATATTTATTAGCTATATAAATAATATGCTTAATATTAAGTGGTTAAAGCATTTTATCTAGCACTTAAAAAAAGCTAAAAGGGTGTTAAACGGCTATTAATTATAAATGGCTATAAATTTCACTATATTAAGTAGTTCCTTTAATTTGCTAAAAATAATAATATAATATGCTTTAGCTTATTATTATATATTATATATTTATTATAATTATTAAACGTAATATGCTTTTAGCTTTATAAGCATTATTACGCAAAAAAGCTAAATATTATAATTTATGATAATATAATTAATATAATTAAGCTCGAATTTTTCGGATTATTAGAGTTAATACGCAAAAATACGTTTTAAAAATCGATTATATAATCGGCATTTATTAAAACGGGAATATTTTTATATAATTTATAAGTTATATTATATAAAATAGCTTAAAGGAAACCTTAACGGGCAATTATACCCTTTAATTTAAACCTTTTATTAATTAAAACTCCCTAAATTTAGCGTTAATATTATTAGGCTATAACCGAGTTTAACGAAAAAGCCGATAAATTAAAATAATATATTTTATAAAAATCTTATTATTAAAATAAACCGCGTAATAAAGGCTTTATTAGTTTATTTTTTAGAGTTAATGCATTATTATTGATTAAGGTGGTGCTTTCCTATTAGAGTTTAAACTGGTCTGGTATAAGTATTAATTATGTGATATATTGATTTATGTTTTACGCCTTTTAGTTTTGATAAGGTATACGCTTATTTGGGTGGCCCCGGCTAATCCCCGGGAGGTCCCGTATATTTATCTAAATATTATAGGGTTAATCCGTGTATTTAAATACACCCTAATATATAAAAACTATAATTTATTATTTAATATACCCTTTTAAATTTACGATTTATCGTGGATCTAGCTATATTTAAATTAAAATTGCTAATTAGCAAAATATAGCTTTTTTTAGGGCTATTCGTTTTAATTACGATAGGTAACGTTAAATTTTATTTATTATAAAAAATTCTGCTATTTACTTATTAATAAGCTTTTCGTTAATTTATTTATTATTATTTTATTTAAGGGTTTATAAATAACTTTAATCCTTCCTTTTTAGGCTTTTTATCGTAATTAATAGTTATAAATATCTATATAACGGAGCTTTATTTTTAATAACGCGATCTCGGCGTTAATTAAATTAATAATTTGCTTATTATTATATTTAATAATAATAATGCTATTATCCAGCTATATTAATAATTTTTTTAATAATCGGCTAACGAATAATATTTTTTTGGCAATTTGCGTTAGGGTAAATAATTTAGCTTTTATAATAAAAATAGTAATTATATTTTATTTATTTAATCGCTAATTAATTAATTTTCTAAATAGTTTTATAGCGAATGCTTAGGTATTTTTGCGATTAATGCTATTATCGGCAAATAATGCGTTATTAGCAATTACTAAATTAAAGGATCCTCCGATTTTAAACGAGAGTTTTTTAGTATTAATTAGGTAAATTAAAGCTCGATTAATAGCTTTTTAATATATTTAGCTTGGATTATTAAGGAATCGAGCTAATTTAGCTATTACGAATATAATATTTAGTTTCGTAAATATAGCCGTAAATAGTAATAATCCGATTTTTTTTTAATATTTCTATATTTCGTGGGGAAACGCTATAATTAATCGAAGTATAAATTTTTCGTAGCTTATTAGCGTTATATAAATCTTTTTTTTATTTATAAGCTTAGCGATTTTTTTAAAATAAGCCTTTTAGGAAAGCTAAATTATTTTAAATATATAATTTTTAATTACTTTTATCCTAAAGAACCACTATATTAGCTTGCTATTATTAATTTTATATTTTTTTATAAAATATTATATTAAATAATTAATAGCTTTTTTATTTTTATTCCTATATACGATAATTATATCGTTAACGTAAAAAAAAACTAGCACTCTTTTTTTAATAAATATATAAAACTTATATAATATTTAAATATAACCGATTTCGGCTAAAATTTTTATAAACTTTTTCTGCTATAGCAGCGGTAATATCCGTAGTTTATAAAGTGCTTTATTTAATAATAATATAGCGTTTTTTTTTTCGATATTTATCCGGCATTTTTATAAATATATTTTAATTAATAGGAGCGTATATAAACGCGTTTATTATATCGTATTATATTAGTTTAAAATCGAATCTCGCTATAATCGCGATTAGGGTGCAAAATAATTTTTTAGCTAGTATAGCCGCGTAAGTTTCCTGGTTCTAAAATTTCGCCTATTAATTACCGCGAACGACGAATCTTATTTTGCATTTTTAAAATTTCCCGTGCTTATCGAATTTATATATATATACTTATATATAGTTAAAAATCTATTTGCCTTTTATTCGTGGATTTTTTTTATTAATTTCGGTCTAAAATCGCATATTTTTATAATTTTATAAATAATTAGCTTTTGCTTAAAGGAATAATTTGCTAAACGGATAATAATATAATTTATAATACTATTTAAGGAGAGCTAAGATTTCCGCTTTATAAATTTTTACCCCTTAACGAAAAAAGCGTTTTAGCTTCGCTTTATCGTTTTAATTATTACTTTATCCTGCTTTAAAAACGGCTTTATAACTAGCTAAAAAAATTATTTGCTATAAAATTATTTTAAGTCCTTTTTTTAATAGCGCCGTATTTTTAATTATAATCGCCTTTATATTATATATTAATAGGGCTAATAAAGGTATTTATAATAAAGTTTAAAAGGCAAATTTCGCGGTAGTAAAAAGGTATTATTTATCTTTTTTATTTAGCGCTGCTTCCTTATTCTCTTAATTACTATTTTTTTTTAATCGTTTTAATTATTACTTAGCAGGATATCTTTTGCGGTAGTATTTTTACTTTTTGGTTCCTATAGGATCTCGTTTTTAAATATTGCGTAATTAGTTACGAAATCGGCGATAAACTAGGTATTAGCATTTAAAAGCTCGTTTTTAAATATATCCTATTTTCCGTCGTATAATTCCTTTTTATTTATAATTATATTTCTCGTATTAATTAATTTATTTTAATTAAAAATCTAAATTTTATAAATATTAAATAATTTATATCCGATTAAATATCCCACTTATATTTTAGGTGCTAATCGCTATAGACGGCCGAATTTTTATTATACCGTTAGCGTTATTACGTATATTTTATATCCGAATATTTTAAAATAGGTTTAATTAAGCTTATAGCTTAAATTTAAAATTCCTTTTATTTTCGCAATTGCTTTATAAAATTTTATATATAATATACGCTATCGGGAATTATAGTTTAGCGTACGATTATATAAATATACCGCGGTTTTGCCGATTTTGGGCTAGAATTAATAAAGAAGTTTTGCGCTAATACGCATTACCCGTTCCTTCTTTTTAATTATACCCCTTAAACGTTTAGCAGCTTTATTTTAGGCTTATATATATAATGCTAAAGGCTCGAATTTAATATATTTATTTTCGAAGTATTTTCCTATTATTTATTTAATTTTTATAATTTCGTTATCGCATTTAATAATTTTAATTTTAATATTATATTAGGTTTTTATTATATTTAAAAACGATCGGAAAGCGTTAATTAATGCAACCGTAATCCTCTCCGTAAAATAATAATCCTATATATATCCCGTTTGCCGATAAATAATTAATATTTAAAATATATAATTTTCGATCCTTTTAATATAATTATAAAAATTTATAGCTAATCGTTTGCTATAATTTTCGTTAATTAGCCGTGGCGCTTACCGTAGTTAGCGCGTAATTTTTGCAAATACGCAGGCTTTATATTTTATTATAATTAGTTTTTTAATTTTTACCTTTTGAGATAAATGGATAAAATATTCGAAAACTACCGGGCCTAAATATCTTATTTTATAGTGCTATCGTATAGCTTCCCTAGTTAATAATAGCCTTTTTATCTATATTATATATTTTTTCCGGTAAATAGCAAATAACGCTAAAAGTAATTCGTAAGGTTTATATTCGAAAACGTATTATCCGTATCGGTTTTAGAATATATTAATTAAAAATTTATTTTTTTTGCGTAATATTATAGGGTCGTTTTTATTATCCTAATAATATTTTTATTTTTATAATTAACGGAATAATATTAATATAATTAGCAGCCTAGGATAATAAGCTATATTATTTAATAGTAATATTTTAGATTCGAGCTATATAATTATTATGCCGTATTTATAAATAAGTAATTTCCGGTCGCCTAATTAGATAAAATCGTAATTAGGAGCTTATTTATAATTAATAAACCTTTTTTTTATATTTATAATTAAAATCGTTATCGCTAAATTTAAAATAATTAAATAGCGCAAAAGGTAATTTTTTATAAATATTATAAAATTATTTTATACGTTTATTATTAGTTATCTGTCTTATTAATTTATATTAATCGGAAGCGATTCTTTTTTAGTTATTCGTAATATATTAATTCGGCTAATTTTGATTTTTTTTATATTACGAATTTATTCCTATAGGTTAGGGTCTTTTTTAAGGGCTTTATTTATTTATGCTTATATTTTATTTTTAGGGACGAAACCTAAATAAGCTTTTTTTAGGAATACGTAAAAATATAAATTAAAGGCGTAAAAAAAATAGCAAATAAGGCATTTAATATCCTTTTGCCTTTTATTATAAGTAATTCGTTTACTTTTTTTTTTATATAAATTAGCCGCATTTAATCGGAAAGATATTTAATTTTTAATAGGGTAAACGTTTTTATTTTATCCGTTTTAGGGTTATTTTTTAGCTTTATTAGCGTAAATTGCAAAAGCGCTTTTTTTAATTTTTAGCCTAATTAGCTATTAAATGCTTAAGCTTTTACGGAAATTATTGCTTATTACCCGATATTTTAAATTTTTATTTAAAATATTTTATTTTTTATAAATTTAATAAAAGGCGGCCTATTATAGTATAATTAAAATAATTATATTTAGGAAGTTTATAGCTTAAACCGAATTATTTTATATTTTAATTATTTGTTTTACCTAGGTTTTCGCTATAATTATCTTTTATTTATTAATTTAATTAATAGTTTTTTTTAATATTTTTAAAGGTTTAAAAGCTTTTAAATATTATTTTTTTGCTTTTTTTTATTATTTATAGCTAATTTGCTATAGCGAGCCTTTAGATTTTCGTATTATTTATATAGGGGCTCGTTAATTAAATAATACGTAAAAAAAAAATTTAGAAAAATCGTTATAGTTATCTATTTCGTGATTTCTTTAATTGCCGTATATTATTTGGCGTATATAGCCTTTTTTGTTTTATAATAATTATAATCGAGGTTAAATAATTTTTGATTTCCTTTAATAAAATCCGTAATCGTTTATTCCCCGTCCTTTTTATTTTATATAGTCGGATCGTCGTTTATATCTGCAATTTCGAGGGTAGCAGCCGCGGTTTTTATATATTTAGTTTTTTTTATATCCGGTTCGATTAAGGTTTTAATTAAAGTCGTTTTATTTTTAAAATAATTAATTAATCCGGTAATTTATGCCTAAATCTAAAATATATATTCCTAATTATTCCAATCGGAGGTTGTTTTTAACGATACCGTTAGGCCGATTCCGGCTTTTTTTGTGGTTATTATTTTCGTAGCTTCGGCGGAGGCACTAAAACTTTTAATTATTAATTAAGGTAATGCTTTCCTATTAGAGTTTAAATTAATTTAGTATAGGTATTAATTATATAATATATTAATTTATATTTTACGCCTTTTAATTTTAATAAGGTATACGCTTATTTAGGTGGCCCCGGCTAATCCCCGGGAGGTCCCGTATATTTATCTAAATATTATGGGGTTAATTTATGTGCTCAAGCACACCCCAGTGTATGGGAACCATAATCCACCATCTGACAATTATAAACGTAACTTAGCCCGTATAAAGCTAGCTAAAAAAATTTATAAGCGGCGCTATAACGCAAAAAATTATCGTTTATAAATTAAAGGAGTGGTTTAGGTTTTTAACGGCTATAATATAATTAAAGATAAAAAGGAATTTAAATTATAAAAGGCTATAAATAAAATAGCAGTATATAAATAAAAAAAACTAAAGGCCGAGCAAAAGGCATAAAAAGAAGCTGAGATAGCAGAAAGGAAGGCAATTAGGGAGGCTAAAAAAGCAAAAAAAGAAGCAAAAAAGCAGTTAAAAGCATTATAACGTTAATAATTTATTAAATCCCGTTAATAAGTGTGTTATGGGTAATTAAAATAAAAACTGGTGTTTTTCTTTTATTAGGTGGCGAATTAGGTGGTATAGCGAAATAAATGGCCAGCACCAACTTACGGTTGGTGAGGAACGAACACATCCAGATAAGTGGGGGTGTGGCACGGTTACAGTACGGAGTACACAGACCATTGGCACAGCACATCTGCGCTGGAGGACAAAACGTGGGGCTTCTCAGTGTGAGGCAGTACACGCAAATCAGGGGGTGAGAGACCTGTTTGCCGTTCTGCCGGCGCTCTTCCAGTGGGTGGCTGACGTAGCGAGAGATCAAAAAGCCAATGGGCTGTGTAAGGTGAGACTCGTCATTCGAAGAATTGCGATATATTCTTCGGTTGCCTTGAGTTGGGCATCAGTGCGTCCATTGAGTCATTCCTTTAGCCGTCGGTCGCCTCAATGAGATATTTATCCTTCTCCATCCCATTCCATCCACTCGGCAGAGAAGCATTCACGAAAACAAGCCTCAGTACCCAAGGTGCACTTTGACAATGGCCGAGGCTGATTGCTGAATGGTGAATGTTACACGACTCTGAAAGTTCTGTCAGGTATACCGCCGGCTGGGTGTTTCAGCCGCAGAGGGATCTACAATGCTGTGTCCCCTATTGAGAGTCCTGCATTCATAGAATCACAACTTCTCAAACGTTCCAAGGAATGTAGGTAAAAAGCAATACGCGTAAACTACAAACGTCCTTCGTACCGAAAGCGAAAAAAAAAGACCCTGAGCTTTTTGCGACCGCGCCAGTGGAGAGAACGGGGGGACCCTCCATGTCAAATCGACGACTAGAAGTTCTGCAAGTAATCTCGCAGCACCCGGCCCGCTGGATATGCAAGTCCGTTGGGAAGAAAAAAGCCAACAAATACCCGTCATCCTATTGGGATTCTTGATGGATACCTACCTTGCACTACAAGACGACAACAACGACGACCTGAACTACTGGTCCCAAAGAGCATGAAGCGCAAGAAAAAGACGTTACCGTATGGGCTAGTCAACGGTCATGAGAATCCACATTCGTACCTAATTCGTGGACATTTGCGCCTATATTACCTACCTTGTGAAAGTACATACACCCTAGGTCATGTTATCTCCGGGGCATCGTGGTCTTACCCGTAAATCATATGGATGACAATTGCCCCTTACCGTTCTTGGAATGCACGAGCGAGGCATTGTACACATTGGTTGTTGAGAGTCATTATAACAGAATAGAAAGGGAATCTGTTTTGTTTTTAAAATCATTGTTTTAATTGTAATATCTTTCTTTGGAAAATTTCAAGAGTCCACAATTGCAGAGCCAGCGGCACCCTGCTTACATCCTCACTTATTGATAGCAATGTCTAACTTGAATCTGACCCAGATTGGGGGCCACCTCTAGCGTCATTGCCAGAGAGAGGAAAAAGACAGCGTAGCAATGACCGCGCCCCCCCAGTGTCGGCACCGGCTCTCAACCACTTTGCCCGCGATATAGTCAGACCGAACCAAGACCAGTTGCTTTGTCATCTAGCCCAAAATTTGTCTTTTGCACTGGTATGACGTGATTCAGGATTTCGCGGAACTTTTATCAAGCCTAGTATCTGAATCCACTGTACTCTGTACACGGATATACTGAGTACAAATCAACTTATTGATCAAGGTGACACAGAGAAGGGGGAGAATTAAAAAAAAGCAATGTCGGAGACCAACGGGGCTGCAGATGAATTTTGGTTGTTCGGCTACGGGTTCGTTTTCCACCCACCCCCCTATTTGATTTTGGCTTTTCGTCAAGGCCGCGCCAACTATAATCACAAGGGCTGTGCAAACCGACCGTATATCGTGGCCGCGTTACACACAATGGCAAAGTCTAGCAACCTCTAACAATGGCTATCACTACAGGAGTTTGATATGGAAACCACCACCGCATTTTGGTAAGGGAAGCCGCCAAAGAAAAGACCTGGGCGCTGGGAAATGGAGTATGGATGGTCGCGTGCTTACATTGCAGTATAGACCGACGCATCCCCGGGTACGTGACCGGCTATGTGCGGAGATTCTGGCAGGTATGAAGTTCTCGTTGTATTCACAAGCCAAAGGAGAGGTGTTCGCTGACCGGTCAATATCAAGGCAAGGTAAATAAGCCCGTGCACTATATTACCTCATGACATCTTCATGCCACGCGAGGTGTGAAAGATACATGGCAAAATGTTTTCAAAGACTGACAAACGGGCCCCGGAGGGAGGGCGCAAGGGAAACAGCCAAGACCATCGTGGCACGCCCGAGGCTCCCGGTCGGGTAGTGACGCTGATTGACCGAGAATTTTGGGCCTCGCTGGTGGACGCGCACGCGTCGGCCCCCGAAAAGGTCTGGGGCGTCGCGTACCGGATCGAGGCGGCCCACGTGGACGAGGTCCGGGACTACCTGGACATACGGGAGATCAATGGGTACACGATCCACTACTCGCCCTTCCAGCCCGCGGCCGCCGGAGCTGCGCCCATCCGCACTCTTGTTTATATCGGCACCCCCGATAACGACCAGTTCACCGGCCCTCAGGATCCCCAGCAGCTGGCCGAGCACATTTGGCGCAGCGAGGGCCCCTCGGGCCTCAACCGCGAGTACCTCTGGAACCTGGAAAAGAGCCTCGACGAGCTGAGCCCCGAGAGCGGCGACGAGCACGTTACGGATCTGTCGAATCGGGTCCGGGAGATTGACGCGAGGCACAACAAGGGCCTCTCGGTAAACGGTACCGCTATTCATCATGATGAAGAACCGTCCTCGCCGCACGAGTTCCGCAAGGTCCGGAGCGTGGACGAGCAGGAGGAGACGGAGTAGGGGAGCTTTGGAGTTACTCGCGCTTATTTGCACTTGGCCATCTCTACCGTGAGAATAAATAGTGCGTGTGTGGTGTGGCTACAGAAATGAGTAGTCGAAGAGAAGCTACATTAGACGAGATTGGGAGAAGCAGGCTACCTTTGGTGGCCAGACTATATATTCGCGTGGATGGTCTAGAAATTAAAATTATCTTCCCACTATCAATAACAAAAACAATTGTGTTTTGATTCTTTGGTGCGAGCAATCGAATTGGGAAAAAAAGAAGAAGAAAAGCCATATGAACTAACCTTGTCACCTGCATTTTATAGTCAGGTCTTCTTTGGATGGTATGTAGGTAGAAAAGAATCTCTGGCATGGCAGCTTCTTCTAGCTGAAGATGACATGTGAATAGGGAGTTGTCAAGGTAAGGCTATTGCGAGTATCAACAAGAACAAGGAGTCATAAAGACCAGCACGTTATCACAAGAAGCCAGGTCTGTATTTGAGTGCTATATGAACATTTCTTTTTGGCGGTGTTGGTAGATTCACCGACTCAAAGAGTAACTCTCCAGATACCCGCCATATTTTATGCTCTAGCCCAGCACCTGAACTTTTCCCCTTGTGATCTCTCTCTGTCCTGTAGATGGCGTTGTGCCTGTGACCCTGTCCTGGGTGACCTAATCTCCTTCCCCCTAATTGGAGTCCATTCACCACTTTGTCTCCTTGAACCCTTCTTCTGGGGTTTGAAATGATCGTGCCGTAGTCGTAAAAAAAAGTGAATCTTGCCCGAATGTTTCGGGACTAAATGCTTCATTAATATGAAGCCGCTTAATGAATGTGAAGACATGAACAATCTTCTCCTCCCCACTACCCCTTGAGAAGAAACCCTCCCTGGCCCACATCAATGAAATGTACAAGAAACGCATCCCATCGGGAAGCATGGTAGGAGAAATTTAGTGGAGTCGACTGTTTATGATGTAAGACGTCGCTCTGTATAAAGGCTCGTGCTGATAGGTTGCTGAAAGGCATCCCATCTCACCTCGACATGATGTCTTCCTTTAGTATTGAGGTGGGCCTCCCATATGTTGACCTTGAGATTGCTGTCCCTGGTCGTAGCCATAAGGCTGTTGAACTGGGTAACCTACATGACCGTCAGACATTGCTTCTTTCCTCACATGGGCAAGGGAAGAGTCTGTTTGCTTACCCTGAGGTGGCTGCGAGCCATAAGCCGCCTGTGGCGGATATCCTCCGCGACCGTATGCCACTGGGTACATCTGTTGCGCTGGCATCCCATATCCCGGCATTGGTTGAGCACCGTAGGGAGCCCCGTAAGCTCCAGCTGCAGGATAGGCTCCGCCACGCCCGGCCATTCCTGGGCCGCCTCGGGGTCCGGCGTCCGTTGCGTTGTCCACTCGGATTGTTCTTCCGTCGAATCTGATCTCTGTTAGCCGTATCCCCCGTTTCCAACGCGGTGCCGGGCTGAGCGTACTCCACATTGTTCATCGAAGCGATTGCTTTCTGGGCGTGTTCTTGTTGGGTGTAACGAACAAAGCCGAATCCTCTGCTACGACCGGTGTCGCGGTCTTTGACAACAACCTGCATAGATCAAACCAATCAGCTCCGAGATCTTGATACTAATATCCCCGCCGGAACATGATCGCGAACCAGCCAGGTCATGGAATATCCAAAGATTGGGATGGCATACCGCTTCCTCCACCGGACCAAACTCTTCAAATTTCTGTCGCAAAGTAGCGTCCTCAGTGTGCCAAGCAAGGCCTCTGCAGTTGTCGAAGCAATTAGTATCACAAACCTGAGCATGAAGTGATGGGTTATGTCAACTCACCCAATGAATAGCTTCGACATTGTAGCTGTTGGTTAAAGTTGGACTTGAATATGTACAAGAAGTTTCTAAATTCGCTGTCAGCCTTCCTCTTGAAGCAGCAGCAGAGTTCCGCAGGAGCATGCATGTATCACGACTTCTAAATGCGCCTTGCAGCCCATACCGTAGTAAGGGATATCCTTTGCTTGATTTCTGAGGAATGACTTACTCGTCAAAGATTCCAATGCCCAAGGATAGGTGAGATGAAATGCGTCGACACTCAATACACAATCGTAACGGCCGTTAGTCGAACTTGAGCGGAGAGAAGATGGTTGTCTTCCAAGTGAAATGATATGGAGGGGAGGATGAAGAATCTATATAGAGAAGGCTTCTGTAGGGGTCCTCTGAGAAGGTATCTGATGTAGCTTGGCAACAAGGCGTATAGGTCAGGTCAGGGTACCCGAGATATTGTCAAGGTCTTGCTTGCTAATGCTTTGCTTGATGCGTGACAAAAGAGAGGCAATCCATGGCTGCGATCCCATCTGATATATATGCTTTCCATCCTCGGGGTAGGTGATCAGTCCAAGGATGTACTGTTGAGACATGCCAACCACAAGCGGTTAATGGCAGACGCTTGATCAGGAAGACCACGACGACAGTTCAGGGTATGGGTCAATATGTGTGTGCCAGCCGGGGGTGACTCCTGGAAACAGGCATCAGACAGGTCAGGTCAACATTGCTCTACACCATGTAGAGACCGGTGGATGATACTTGACCGTCGCTCCACATAAAAAAGAAAAGACCGGACGGTCTAGAGACAATGCTGAGGCACTACTGTGTACTCCCAGATTTGAAAACGACAATTATTGCCGAGCAAAGTCCTGGTCAATAACTTGGTGGTGAAGAAGTGGGTAAATAAAATTCCCATGCGGTTTGTTGCGCGGTTTGTTGCTTGGCTGATTGGCTCGTCAAACAGTTTTGGCTGATGTCTCCACAAAGTCCACCAAGTAAACCCCCCACTAGATAGGAATTATACTGTATATCTCATTACTGAGGCCTGACCAGGGAGTCTTGATGCGCCAAAGCAAACATTGTTTCCTGTTTTCGATTATTTCTGCTTTATTTTTGGTGAATTTCCAGGTCATGCAGTAGGCAAGAACATCATGGTGTGCTGGCAATCGACCTTTTGCGAAATAAGACGCAGCAATAGCTGCACCTTTGAACGCGTATGTGAACGTCGCGAGGAGTCTGAAATTGCGCACACAACTACAATGTATACACTAGGCATGGTTCCCTAATGACTCCTGGCGTTTATTACAGTAGCCAACTCTCGCCAAACGTGTAAGTTGCCCATGTTGAGGCTCAACCCCGGCGTTTCGTCAACGGCGCTGCGGGTTGCAGATCTAGGAGGGGCATCTTTCGGCCTTGGCCTGCCTGAAAACGTGCATATCATGTACGTAGTATCACCAAGGGGGGCATTGATACTGCTAAGCCTGTTACGTTGCCAAAGGTAAGAATTGATAACGAAAAGAAAGAAAGAGGACCTCTGTGATGGGGTTGTCTGATTAAACAGTCAATACTTCGAGTGATGCGCAATTGATACTTGGCGTCACTAGTGGAGCCCAACTGCAGTGCATTTAGCAGATTGAGCGGGCTTTGGGCTTTTACACTAAAAACCCACAGACATTTGCAAGAACGTGGTTGGCATGGAGCGTTCAAGGGGTCTCCTAGAATAGGACACGCGCCCGTTGTATCCTGGTCTTTGCAACGTAAAAGTCGCTCAAATCCCTAATCATGTATACCATGTACCTGTATGATGATGATGATATAACCCCTCACCCATTAACGGGCAGGGAGGTAGGTACCTGGTGTACTCATTACAGCACTGCAACATTGGAAGAGATGGCCTGGGTTTCGCGTGGTGCTTGCGGAGCGACCTACCGACCGGCGAGCAGGCCGATTAAAGTCTGTGGGGAACAGACGGACGTATCCTGGCATCTTGCGAAACTTGCAAGGGACCAACAGTCTGGTGCACATCGCGTTGAATCGCTGAAACGCGGCGGGAGCGTCGTGCAAGGCAGATATAGTTGGCTCAGTAGCCGCACAGGAATAAGTTGCCAGGTTTTTTTTTTTTTTGACAGATGTGTAGGTAGGTTCATGGTGGTAGTGCTAGTGTGTAGATACCCTGTGTAATACCCTTGGCAGACCTGGGGAAATTTGAATGATAGGTACAAAGAATGCTCGGCGAAGAGAATACTCGGGTCAGTGGGTGGATCTTCAAACGGCCATGAGCCGAGCCCACTCGGCTAGTTGATCGTTGGGACATGACATGGAGCTTATTACCTACCTTTGGTAGCTGGTTGGTGAAGTCGGCAAATAGAGTTGCTGTTCTTCGGAAACAGTTCTAACCTCGGTACCACCTGTGTATGGTCGTCGATGAATGCCTGTCCGCCATCACCATCAGTACATCATGTACCTAAATCAGACACTGACCTCTTTTGCAGTTACAAAGAGTATCCTGGACCACGTACGTAATGACGAACCAGTGTGCACTTGGGCGAACCCTCGCCCAAATAATAGACGGATCACATATCGTGAATAGTTCTAGGCTCTAGCCAAGACCAGGAAGGTACATCAGATGGACCTCCAAGATGGGCCTCATGAGTCGTTTCGACGGCCAGAATGCCCAAGGCGAGATCTCGGGCCAACTTCGACACAAATTGCGTTCCGAATATAAAAGAGCTTGTTTAACGTCGTGTGTGACAAGTCTAGTACAAGGAGCTCTGACGTGCAGTCGATCATCGTGGGATTGGCTGTCGGCAGGCATCCGTTCATGGGCATGCCGCCCGCAGAACCGAGTATGTGGAGAGAGTCAGATAGCTCCTGAGCAGTCACGAGATCTCCGGGGAGCAGCCAGGCTGTTTCCCGCTTGCTTTCTTTTATTTTCTTTTTTCTTTTCTTTTGCGATGCAACGTCCTGCAAAGCGTCTTGAGGCTCATGCGGATGATTCCCCGTCGGCCAGACGAGCATGGCAGGTGCATGAATCGACGGAGCTTCCAGCGCTCTGCACGTTTGACAAGTCCACATATCAACCACACAAAAGTAGCTACCAGATCGCCGACGCATCTGGTTATCATGGCATTGCAGATGACGGCATGGCTGAAGCTCACAAATGATTATGCTATAGTGCTGCTCAAGGCGGACGACTCCATGCTTCGGGATTTGACCGAGAGCATGACAAGAATTGAACAGAAGATTTTGGTGTCTCAAACGCGGGACCTGGCCGAGGGTTTGCACACATGTGGAGTCTGTAACCTCTTTGCACCTCGATATTGAAATCTACCAGCACCAACAGGTACGTACAGTTTTTTGGAATCAAGGGAGCTTGGGCCACACTTGATGCTTCAATTGTTGCAACATGAACATTGCGTACAGGGTACAGAGCATGTACCAGAGTTGTCTTTGAACAGGCGCGTAGCAGGATCCTCGAACAATTGAGTAATCAATTGACGCGGACGAAAAGGTTCAGACGATAACTTCCTTCGTGTCGACTTGCCTTGCCCCGACTGATTTTGGTGAGTTATTTTTCCTGGCATCTCAAACTAGGGAAGATCTGCCGAGTCCAATGTGTATACTCGCAGTCTCAACAGCCTCAACAGTGGGTGTTTTGCGGAGGCAGCCCTGGAGATGGCTAAAGGGTCAGGGTAGGTAGTAGTGTAGTGTAGTGAATGTAGTGCATCTAACCTTTTGGGTGGGTATGTGCGCTACACAGGGCAGGGCACCCCCCATGCATATACCACAAAGCAAATATGCGGCTCTGCTGTGCGGTAACAGCCCCAATGCAACGCAAGCCGATCTGGGTGCCTCGCCGCGTTGCAAAATGCAGACAAGACAAGACCCTGGTGCCCAGGAGGAGTCCAGTCTGCCTGTCTTGTCCTGTCTGTGTGTCTCAGAATCGATTAGAGCCTCATTACTAACAGCCAAGCGTACGCTAAGCTCTGGCCCCAGCGTTCGCCCTTCACGTCAGTTGCCGATCAACTATATATAGCGACAGGGGTCACCAGAGTGTATCAGTCTCCCGCGCCAAGCCCCTGTGTAAAACGTCTCTCGATGCCACGATGCCTCAACAGACTGGTTGCTCTCGCGCGAACAGGACAGCCCTTTACACTTTCTCTCGTAGCACATTGGCTGGCAGAGTACCCTTGAAGATGATCCGCGGCAAATCCCTACACATCAATGCTTGGCGTTTTCAGCGAAGCGATGGCCTGCAAACCTCGTTCTGGGCGTGGGTTATGACCAGAGATTGGGGCCTGGCCAGGGACAATTTCGACACGCAACAAGTGCAGCTTTGTCACTTGCAAGGTTTAACGTTCCAGGCGACGACTGTGGGAATCAAGCTGAACGTCGCCAATGTGTCTACGAATCGGGTGCCTCGCTATTCGCCAGCGATGTGTCATTTCGCCGTCTTGAGAGGCTGGGTTATACCATGGCCTCTGCGCCTCTGCACCTCTACGGTCCATTTCGGAGAATATTCCTTGCAATCAACGGAAAGATCCAAGCGAAGACATGGTAACTGTACATTATCTGTTACCAGGGTCCCTGCGGTATCTCCAATGTATACTGGATAGTTCGGTAAGGGCTTGTCAGCAGAGTAGACGGGTACAAACACTCCTTTGGGAATCATCATTACTAACCGATATCTAGGTAAGTACCTAGGTAAAACGAGCTGAAGAACCAAGGACGAAAATATAGTCGCTGCTACCGGCAACTGCCAACCAAATCTCGACCTCAACCAAACGACGTGGTTCCAAGACATGTAGTACTCTATACCTGCCTATCTTACATACCTACCTGAGTGAGTACCCATCGCCTATCACTCTTGCCATGTATCTCCTACCTGCATTGAAGATCAGGTAGTCAACCTGTATACCATGGCAGGGGGGCAACCACGATCGTGGGATCTGCCGCTACCTTATGCCCCAGCGCCCTCATGTCTCCTGCCCTTGCCTTTGCAGTACATGATGTTAGCCTCAAGTGGACGCCGCTCCTCCTGTCTTGGACAACTGGAGCCCTCGTCTTCAATACGACAAGGTCAAGGGGTTCGTTCGTCTATCTCCCCACGTACCCAAACTGCAATATCTTCGCTACCACAACCTGTCTGGCTATTGCTCCGAGAGTAGATCGCTTCTCCCCGCATCTACCGACACGTAATCTTGGCTACCGACGCAAACATGACCTGACAATCTCGACGCGGACATTTCTCAAGTTTGATGTGCAAAGCTTAACCTTGTTACTCTCCCCTTTCGTTTCAATCCTCGCCGAGGGATGGGTCGCTATAGCTCACCCGCAGCCGCCCGTCCACACCTGCCACCCCATCATCATCACCACCATCGCGGGCCTCGAGCCGAGCACGCGCTACACCACCACACAGATTCCCACGATGCCGCCCACGTGAAACGCCGAGGAAGAAGCAGAGACCAGGGCCTCGCAACAATCGGCAACTTGAGCCGGGCAATGAAAAATGAACCTAGAAACAGGCTTGTGGAGATTTGGCTTGCAACAACAGGCAGCCCTAGCCCCGATGTCGCAGCACTCTCGACAGATGACGCAAAGCTTGTCGAGGTGCACCGTTCACAGCTCAGCCAGAAGGTTGAGCACAAGGCTCAGTCTGGTAAATCGCATCGGTCCAGAGTGGTCTGGCAACCTCAAGAGCTCGTCAAAGTGAATCAGGACACTAGACCCGTTACGTTGACCGACCAACGCCTGGGACACGGTCGTAGGGAGGGCTCGATCTCGAGCTACAGCTCGCTGTTGACGGTTGCTGATCCTCGTGGAACACCAGGATATGATAGTTGTTCAGAGCAGCCGGCAGCTAGGGAAAGGGCTGCTGAAGTACGGCAGCCGGGTTCAAGCAGACGAGTCGATGAGAGTGACAAAGATGACTATTTTGCGAGAAGGGCATTCCCAGAGCCCACCAGTTTTGAGAAAAGAGCAAGAAACAAGACCAAAGAAGACAAATATGACACTAGAAAGGAGGAGCGAAGAAAGGCGAGCTTGAAAGAAGGTACAAGTCGTCACAGGTCGAAGAGGCAGAAGAAAGATGGCAAAAGACAGGGACAGTTGTCGAGTAAGAATGTGATGAAGAATTTCAACTCAAATGCGGTGTTGCAAGACCGAGTTACGGTCCGTCCCTCTTCGTATATGGCGTGTCATGGTGAGGTTTGGTATTAACCTTTATAGATACATCAACCATCGACCAAAGGTGCAGGGTACAAGCACACGTGGTATGGCCACAATGGTTCTCATGGCCCGCCTGGTAGTACTGGGCAAACGCGTATGTTTTTCTCTCTCTCCCCTTGTTCTTCCATGAGTGGAAAGCCCAAGTATTCTGATGCTCAATAGTTAGCGACTTGGTCTTTACAAACCTGAATTTTCTCACAGACCAAAAAAACATCGCACCAAAACCATTATCATCGCGACGCTTGCGCGAATTGGAAAGACAGAACAAGGAGATCGAAGAACTCTCGTCTTTTTTCATCCCAACCGACGCAAACCCTTCTCATTCGAGAATCGAAATGGCACCATCACGACCATTTGATGCCCCCATCCGCGGTCGAACCCGTCTCAACCACCGGGCTCCCATCAAAAGAGCACATGATGATTTGGAATCCACTCACCAAGCAGATTCGTCGATAATGGCCCATATTCCCAGTGAATCGAGTGAGCATGTCAACAATGTGAATGCGGAGAACGGCTCAATGGGTACGCATACACACTACATATCATCACCCAGTTCAGGTCGAGTGCCTCCCAGTGCACCAAACCAACCAGTCCAAACCGTAACCGCATCGCCAGTACATGAGCGCCAGCGACGTGAGTCTTCAAGCCAACAGAGAGGCCAACGTAAATCCTATCAGCAAATCTTACATGAGACAGGGATCCTCCACGGCACGGGGATCGTCATACCTCTAGACGAGGAAGTCGACTATGGTGTGCAACAGCAACAAAATGTGAGCGATGATGAGTCCATTATTGAGGAAGCTCAGCTGAGGGCACGCTTTGAAGCAATCTTTCCACCCCACTGGCGCAAAGATTACAACGATAATAATGCCAAACTACAAAGCTTGGACGATTCGGCTGACTTATCATACAAGATGCACCAACAACAGTCTCTGGCCCATACTCGGCCGAGCGAAAGCCCCAGGACCTATAATTCACGCGCTGATTCTCAGGGACCACACCATCTACATACATTGGACAGAGCATCAACCTCGTGGATGCAACCACCCAGCCTTGGCCGTGCTCCAATTCGCCAGCATGCCATTAATACCGATAGCATCGCGATGAAGAGGTCACAAATGAGGTCACAGATGACCTCGCCATTCTACGCCGAACAAGCATATAACATCCCTAGCATGCCTCCGCCAATCCCGCGAAATATATCATGGCGACATGAAACAACAAGGTTACGTGCACCAATACCAAATCCGCATGTAGGACATTTGACGCATCAAAATTTAAATTCGTCCCCACCCAAACGCGCATCAACAGATAGACCCAAAGAAGCAAATGGGACCAATACAGACTACGCCCCGGCAGCTGTTAATGCACAACTCGCCTCGACTCTGAGTAATGTGCCATACGATCCAGACGTTGGACTGTGGCTCGACGGTAGAGACAGAATTGCGCCAAATCAGATTCAGGGAACCTCCACTATCTCTCGACAGTCTGCAGCGGCATCCTCCACATTACCACACGCGTTGGTTGCATCAGAGTCTGCCACTCGCGAAAACCCTCGAAATAACGCGGTCACCGCAACAGCTACAGAACGCGGTACAGCGCCATTGCCACCGGAGCAGCCTGAGCAGCCCGAAAACAGAGAGTCGCTGAAAAAATATATCAGTGAGATGCAAAGCGAAATCAATGGTTCGATGGGGGAGCAGAGCCGGATTGTCGGAGTTGACCCCAGTGTTCAACCAACAAGAGAAGTCGACCAGACCGAGGCTGGTCAACAACTCGCAGGATCACGTAACCAGATGTCTGGTCTCTCAGGTGGTACGAACATGGAAAGGCCGCATGTCACTTCCACGGGCAACATGCCTCGGGCAGAGTCGAGCCAGGAATCTGTGTTTGACTGGGATCTTTACGATCAAGATAATAAAGTCGAACATACGGACGGACTATAGGAAGAAAGGACCGAAATGTTGGGCTTCTGGCGACCCAATCAGATGGCTGGGTTTTGAGAGAAATGCTGGGAAAATACAGGAAAATGAAGAGCATATCCTTATTCACAAAACATCTTTGATAAAACGAGTTGCACGTAACATGATGATGATGATGATTATTCGGGCTCTTGGTCTTTCCACTTTTCTCTCAACCCATTGACATCAATCCCGCATGCCTCTGCTTTCGTCACGACTGCTCTTGCTTTGCCAACAACAGGCGCGTCAATCATGGCGCCGTCCAAAGTCCAAGCACCACGACCAGCAGCCGCCGCCTTCTCGTCGGCAATTGTAACTCGGACGGCCCACTCGACCTCCTTTTCGGCTGGCGCAAACATTCGCTGAACTGTCTCGACCTGCGAGGGGTGAATGCATTGTTTGCCATTGAACCCCATGGCCTTGCCACCACGACATTCCTCCTCCAGCCTCCGCAGACCCTCGTCGCCCTTGTACGAGGTGCAGACGAGGTCAATGGTGCTCGGCAGGTCGGCCGCGCGGGCGGCAGTGGCAATGGCAGACCGCGCATACAGGAACTCGGACAAGGACGGCGTCCGCGTAATGCTCAAGTCGAGGGCAAAGTCCTCGGCGGCAAAAATCAAGCCCGACAGGAGCGGCGTGGCGGCGCAAATCTCGCGGAGGTTCATGACGGCCCTGGCCGACTCGATCAAGGCAATCAGGCGGACGGGTGAATTTTGAGGGCTTCCAGTGTCGTTACTGTTGCTGCTGCTGCCCTGATGACGATCTGGTGCCAAGTGTCGCAGCGCGTCGGCGGCAAAAGTCAAGTCCGAAGCCGAGTTCACCTTTGGGATGACAACGGCGTCGAGGCCCGGGCTGGCCGCCAGCGCCGTGAGGTCGTCCAGCGCGTGAGGGGTGGAGACGGCATTGATGCGCACCGCGACCTCGGAGATGCCGGCGGGCCGCGAGGTTGTCGCGAGCTGTCCCAGGTGCTCGCGCAGGGCCCGCCGGGCCTCGGGCTTTGCGCTGGGCGTCACCGAGTCCTCTAGGTCATAGGTTACATTGTCTGACTTGAGGGATAGTGACTTGGCCAGCATGCGCGGTGATGATGCCGGGACTGATGTGCTTCCGTGTTAGTTGTATTTGTTTCTCTCTGTTTTTGTTTTCTTCATATCAGGGCTTGGTTGGGATTGGTTTGCTTGCCGTATAAAAGCGAGCGCCGTAGAATGGTGCTCGATTTAGCTGCCATGGTTGTCAACAGCCAGCACTGAGCTCACTGGTGTTTGGATTATATTAAGTTGTTTATGAACTGGCGAGGCTCTTTTTCACTTTCTACTCCATCTCCAGCCTTGGTACGTGGAGAGTGTTGTTCTGTTCCCGCAATCGACGTAATTTGATGGAGTTTCCCCCCTTTCGGCGCTATTTTACCCCACGATGAGCTAAAAACAACTCCTTGGGCTTCCCGAGGTTCCAGTACGTTGAAAGCGGGTACAATACATTATTTGCAGGGATTTCCCCTCCCGCCTCGACTGGTATTTTTAGAGCTGGATATACTCATTACCATTTTTGTAACCCTCAATGACTTGGAAATATGTCAAGCCGTGTACAAATTTCCATAGTTGTATCTAGGCGGACTTGCTGAATGTGCACAATTTGCTTGGTGTCCATCATGAGACAAGCAGAAAAGATGCCATTGGGAGGCCGAAGAATATGATTGGGAGGGCGCTTTTAGTAATGGAGACATTATTACCAACTGGCGTGCTGGGCATGTGATTATTCACTTTCGGTAGTTTTCACTTTCGTATGCTCAAACTCAAGAAATATTTATGGCTCATGTTTGCTGAATAAAGGTGCATGGATTATTTTGGTCCACTAGAATCATGTTGCAATGGAGGCGTGGTCTCGAGTAGCCGAGCACTCTGGGCAAGTCACAGCATGTACGCCCAACATGTAAGTGACCCAAAAGAAAATACCAATTAATAAGATACATGTCCATTTTAAAATTCTTCCCTTTGAAATGTGCCTTCATGTAAGTGTCTAGACCCTGAAAACGAGCCGGGTGACGGCACGTAACCTTTTCGTTACCAGGAAAGCCGTCGCGGCCAGATGCGGCCATTCGCCACAACTCGTGATAGTTGGAACGATTGAATAGGCGAGTTCATATGGCTGGTTAATTGTGACGGTCCTTATCCTCCCGGCCGATTGGGAAAAGTCATGAAGACGACTTTGCTGATAGGCTCGCTCCGACTCACGCCCGGGTAATGAGGCCGGGTAATGCGCCGACAACAGCTATCGCGCACCAGTTTTCATATATCATATATTGCTTTTTTATTGAAGAGAGCCTTGACTAGACCTAGAAACCGGATTTTCACTCTTTTCTCAATTTCTTACCGATAGCGACATCCGGGCGCATGTTCTATAAATATGACGGACAGAGCGGGACAGGTAGTGCCTAATGGTAGATTACATATGACACGGAAAGTACTCGGCGCGAGCAGAGAACAATATATCTTTTAGGATACCACTGACATTCAGTCTCGCAGAATTCTACCCCCTCGCCAGTGCCATCTATCCCTCGAGCTGCCGCGTGAGCCCTCGTCCGCCATCATGCTCCGGGCTGGAGTAGCCGCCATCGCCCTTGTGGCATTAGCAAATGGCTCACCCACTCCAACAAGGAAGGAAGGCCTCGAGGCAAGACAGTGGGAGATTGGGAACCCTTGGACAACCATCATCGTGGGCGGTTCTACGCCGACAGCTGTCCCGACCAGCGGCCCTGGGATCGGACCTCCCATCACGGGCGGTCTCAATCCGCCGCGCGAGAAGAGGGACGACGGAGCACCGTCGCTTGGCTGGGGTGATTCGGATGCACTAAAAGCCCATATCGTCTCTCTTGAGCTCGAGTACGAACACCTCGTGCAAGAGTACGGCGACAAACCTCCCCCGAGCGTGGCAAAGCGTGAAAAGGAGATTGAGAAGGAACTCAAGGAGTACGGCATCATCATTGTGCAGACACCGGATGGCACTTCCACCACCATCACGTTCGGCAAGGTCAAGAGGCAAGGCGACATTGGCCCTGTGCTTGGCGGCAGCGACCCCAGCGCGCTAAAGAAGTACCTCACTGCCCTCGAGCTGGAATATGAAGCTCTCGTTCACCAGTTCGGGAACAATCCTCCCTCCTATGTTGCCAAGCGCAAGAAGGAGATTGAGACCGAGCTCAAAAAGTACGGCATTGCCATCATTGCGACCCCAGACGGTACCTCGACCATCATCACGCCAGGCAAGGCCAGAAGAGGGGACCCATCACTCGATGCTGGCGCATATGGAAGTGCTGGTTATGACTTGGCCGGTCTTGAAAAGACTCTCGAGTCCCTGTGGCAACAATATGGCACAAATCCCCCACATGAGGTGTACATTGTTGAGGAGAAAATCAAGCACATATTGCTAGCCTATGGTATCACGGTTGTCCAAGCACCAGACGGGACATCCACCGTCATCTATCCATCTACCAGACGATCATTCCCCGACTATGATATCGAAAAGCTAGAGTCCATCTTTGAATCACTTTTGCAAGAGTACAATGGCGAGCGCCCTCCCTTGGATGACTGGCTGGTGATTCAGCACACTGCCGCAGTTCTCAAGTCCTATGGTATCTCCATTGAGCAGTACCGCACCGACACCAAGCGCAGCGTCCCGACGGGCGACAGCGTCAACGTCGTGGCCCTGCAGGCTCTCCTGGCCCTGCTCGAAGCGACCTATGGGTCCTCCCCACCGCTCGACATTTACCTCATTGAGCAGACCATTGCCACCATCTTGGGTACCCAGGGCATCATTGTCCCCGGGTTCCCCATCCCCGGCGGTGCCATTACGCCCGACCCCACGATTCCGGGCGGCGTCATTACTCCCGACCCTACTATCCCCGGGGGCTCTATTACCCCGGACCCAACCGTTCCCGGTGGCTCCATCAATCCCAGCACCAAGAAGCGGGACAACCCCGACGTCGAGGGTCTCCTGGCGGCGCTTGCGCAGCTCGAGGCTGCCTACGGCTCGTACGGCTCGGGCTCGGTGCCCGTCGCCGTCTTCATCATCATGCAGAACATTGTCACCATCCTCCAGGCCGACGGTGTCTCTGTCCCGGGCTGGCCAGACCTTGGGGGCGGATCGACCGTCATTGGGCCGTCTACTTGAGCAAGGTGAACTGAACTGGGGCTGTACCGCCACAGGTGTAAGGATCAGGGCTCATGCGTCTCCTTGATTTTTTTGCTTGGCTCTTCTTTATCTTTATCTTCTCTTCCTTTTGACGATGTCTTCCTCTAGTTACTTTTCATAGTCTTCTTTATACCTTTTCAGGCTTGATTGAGTTATACCCCCCTTCAGTCTGATCTTTCCATTTTGGTTACGTGCCTCGACATTCGAATCCTGTGATGACGTGTCCCGATATCTTGTTTCCAGAGCCAGACTATGGCGCCTGCGCCCAAGGGAAACCCACCAGAACACCGATGATACGCCTTTAAACGTAAGTAGAGTGAATCTTTTGTTCGCAAGCTTGACATGCGATTAGCAGTAATCATTGTACCAAAAAATACTACGTAGACACACTTATATTCGAGCATTTTGGTTTGCCACGGTCTTGGATCTCTAAATTATACTGTCTTCTACTCTCAATCCTATCTTCTCCTATTATCCAAAATAAGACCATACCGCCTTCAAAATGCATACATAACCTTCCCGGTTTCCTTAATAAGGTATACGAGATCATATAGAGAGGTATGGAATGCCTTTTACTGCGAATACATCAAAATTAGTTTGTTACGGTAGTCGTCAATTTTTCGGGCAAAGAAAGACGAGGGTGCAATGCGGAAATTCCTAGAAAGGGGGCATCACTAGGTTTCTCTCTTTCACCCTACCTGATGACCTCATCTTCAGGTAGGTCAAGGAGTGCATCCATTAAATCTAGGAACGTCTGGTACAATACAAAGCAAGGCTTTAATTCAACACAAATGCCGTTGAACTGATCTCGTGGTAAGCAGGAAACAACGTTGTTGGACAATTTTCAACTTAAAAAAAAAGAAAAGGGAAAGAAGTAGAAGCAGAGAAGAACGCAACCTGGAGGCTTGTTTGATATAACATGGCTTACTTTGGAGTGCAGTATGAGGCAATAGTGTTCAAACGAAAACCTCGAGGACGTCCATCATCTTGATAAATCCATACAAGTATCCGTCAGGTTGCGTCTCCAAGACAAAAGAAAAGGTTTGGAATTCAAAGATTTTGATTTTCGTCCCAGGCTGGACTACCTAAATCCAGAAAAGGGAAGAAGAAAATAAGTGTCTTGGTCATTCAAAATCAGCGTAGTTTAGGTACATAGCCATCGGCTTGAATTTCCTCCCCATCATACAAGCGGCTCTTTGCTCCCGAACCCTGCTTATTTCGGCAACGCCATAATTCCCCCTCCTGCCCCCCCCAACTAGGTACGTATGAAATAAAAACTCCGACTCTCATGCACGGTACTTTGCTTGAACGCTTGGATTGAACGTGTCGAGTTGTTGAGAGAGAAAGGAGTCAATGTCACTTTTTGTGAGGACGAAGGGCGCGAGGTATTATATACCGGTACTTGCTTGCTTGGCAATTGTTGCTATTCATGCAAGGTCCTTTGTCCTTATGCACGGTACTTTTCCTGGTAGGTTTTCTGTTCTTCTCGCTTATATGATATGATCACTTTGCGAGACGTAATGTGAGAATTGATATAAAAGCAGGAACGTTCCATAAGGACTTTCTTATTTCTCCCCTCCACCTCTTCTTGTTGTTGTGTATCTGAGCCCCCAGGCTTGCGGTGTTAGAGAACAAACGAGTATGATGGAGGTTTTGATCAGCAATATGGTGATAGTTGCTGGTTTCAAGCTATGCTCAGTCGATAACGACTCCATGTTGCTGTGGTAGTAAAAGGCAAAGAAAAAAGAAGAAGAAAACAGAGCTCTTTCGTCTGCGGGTTATTTGACTCGTATACTCTGCACTTGAGAGTCTACTTGATCGCAAGGAAATGCCCATCGCAAAAACACCAAGGCACATGACATCGTGAATCGCACTTGATTCGTAACAAAACTTTGAGCTCTTGTCAAACACAAGGAAGATTGGACCTTTTTGGAGCTACAGCCCCAAGGATCTACAGGGAATGAGAGAGAGACTGGAAGTAAAATCATCCACCGGCCTACACCACCACCAGCAGCCCAATCTGCAACCATCGTATAATCGTCAAGTGGCTTTCCGACTACTCCCCAAGAGGAACTACGACCCGCCAGGCTCGAGATTTGATCCTTGTTGCTTCCTTTTCGGATTGGTGCAACTTGACAGCCCTATGGGTCTGCATACTCAAAATCACGTGTTCATGATTTCGATAGTAAAAGGGCCATTGGACACGCGTCAGCTTAGGCTAGATACTGATCACAAACTTCATTGAGGGTCAACTGCCATTCGGATATTTTCAGCCATCATGACATTACACCACCTTCCAGCTCTAATCATCAACTGTAGCTTCGAAACCATTCGATTCTAGCTTGTCTAACTTTCTTTTTTTCGTATCATTAATTGCTCGGCCCAAAGAGGCTGGCGGAGCTTGCGAAGAACAAGTTGTATATACAAGAGGAGTATCAAATACAAATCTTTGCGCCTCAAAGATTTGTGTACTCCATCCATCCTTCCATCGATACCTAGCTTGCCTTGTGGGCTCTCTTCTTCCTGAGCTCCATAGTCCTTGTTCCATCACTTCCGAGGGTAAGTCCTCTCCGATATACCGGCTAATGTTTTTATGGTACAGATACTGCGACTTTGAAATGTACAGCTGATGCTCAAGCTCTCTCGTCTGGAACAATGGCCTTGTAATGTTCCATTTCCAAGGCGCGCCATACTTGGCCAACGAGCCGTCAGCAGAAAGATAAGCCTTGATGTCCCTTTCTTCCAACGCCTCAAAATGCAGAATTTAGACGATCCATAGAATACGGTAGTTGACGTATAAAACGAACATGATCAAGTGAGGCGACCTATGCCTTCTTGTTGGAGTTGCCGACAAATCTCTCCTTCATCGAGACGCGCTTGCCGCCCATTGACTTGATCTTGTCAATCAGGGTTCCTCTGTTGTCTAGTTCTGCAATGTCGTCGCTGCCGCCGATGCTCTTGCCGTTGATCATGATGTTGGGCACAGTTTTGCGGCCAGTCATCTCTCCCAGCTTGGCTTGGAGCTGCTTGCCCAAGGGGTGTTCGTCTAGCTCGACGACGTAGGGCTGGGGGTCTATCGAATACTTTTCAAGGAGCAGCTTCTTGGCTGCCTTGGAGTACGGGCAGTATGTCTTGGAGAAGATGATAGCTAGGAACAAATTAGCACAACCGCAACAAATGACCAGCGTCTAGAAAAGGGTATCTTACTCGGAGACTTTTTAAGGATTTCATTCAGTGTGATTTCAATCTCGTGCTCCTCGTTGCTCTCCTCGACAGTGGTAGAATCACTGTCCTTCTTGCCCTGGCCGCCAGCCGAGCTGCCCACGCCCACGACCTTGCCGGGAGAATCAGGCTTCAGCGGCGCCTTGGCATTTGCGAGGTCCTTGGCCTTTTGCTCAGCTGCTCGGAGGCGCTCGGCCATTTCATCGGCCATTTGCTCATCGTCTGCATCAATAGAGCCGTCTCCGTCCTTGTCCTTGGCCTCGGCACTGACCTGGCCGCCTTTGCCACTCATGATGATCTGGGACCCTCCAGTGCCCCTCTTACCATCCATGGCGTTGATGGTCTTGTGATAAAAGTCTTGGATGGTTCGGGTGTCGCGCTCGCTCGTCTGCTGCCATTGTGACGTGAAGAATAAGATGGTGATAACCACTGCCAGGGCGACTAGCAGCAGAGCACGCAGTCTACGTGCCGAAGGCATGATGGTTGGCGACGATGCTGTGCGCAATGCAATAGCGATTGCGGCCGTGGTGTTCTGGACCGCGGAGGATTGTCGTCAGGGGGCTTGGTTGGCTTGGGGGTTCAACAACGGTCGACGTGCGGTTTTCGGGGAGAACTCCGGAAGTGTCTTAAGTCAATTGTCTTCAGTGAGATGTGCTTGGTCGGGTGATGATTCAGCCAGGTCTCAAGACACGGGCAGGAGACGTGCGTTTTTTTTCTTTCTTGTATATTATTATTGATGTCGGTCGCGGGTTCGTGCCAACAACGGGTGCTCGGGAGCGGTCATCTAATTGGCGATACAGAAATGTCCCTTTTTTTGCTTCTTTCCCGCCTTCAAAAGGATTGCTTTGTCGGCTGGGCTCGGGATTCCTCCAATCGTCGGGCGTGGCTAGCTCGTATTATGAGTTGCCGGGGGTGATCTTCAACAGAGACATTAGCTTGTCGGCCGGTGCATTGAGGAGTTTATACATTAAGGTATGCGGGACGGCAGCGACAGGATCATCCGTCGAGAGGCGCGTCTATGTCTTTGGGGTTATGCGGCTAAAGTGCAAGGCATTTACGTACAAATTCAAACGGCGCAGCAGATATAAACAAGAGAATGTGAACCAAGTGGAGGGCAGCCACTGGAACTAACTTGTCTTCGTCCCCGTCGTTGTTATTGTTATTGTCAAGCACAATCAGTGGTGAATAAATGTGCGCAATATGCTGTCCTTCGGGGCAATGTCGAGAAGTCAAAGAAAGCTTGTTCGCAGTGCCGTGTACGGACGTAAGAAACAACCGAACCAGAGTCTTGTGTACGGGATGCGAGTAACGACCAGATCGAAATAATAAAAACAGACCGAGTATGTAGTCAATAGTCGGCCGCCGTGTCTTTTTGTGTTGCGCGAGGCGTTTGTCGGATGCTGTCAGTATTGATGCGAGCGAACAAAATGTTGCTGAAGGATGTTGTGCTGTCGAGTCGCTTCTCCAACACTTTCATTGCAGTCTGTCTGTTCAATTCCGTCAGTCAGGTGCTTTGCTGCCCACCTGAGCGAAACCCACCAAGACAGGCGCTGGGTCCAAATGGGTCCAGGGGAGGAGGGAGGGGAGACCGGGTTCTCGGCCCACTGAGATGCCCACTGAAAGACAGTGAAAAGCAGAGCCCTGGACGACCCATAATCAGCTGCATCATTTAGCGCCTCGGAGCCAACAGGGATTCAGACAGGCACACGTACAGGGGGAAAGCAACAGTGTGGGGAAGAAGGAATCGCTGGTAAACGAACCATGCCATGAGTGGACGAGAGATTTGCTCGCTTTTGGTCTAGACGCGGATCTTAAATGCCAACTAGGTAGGGGAGCAACAGTCTGGGCGAGGCTTATTGCCTTGTATCGGAGGGACAGGACCTGGGGAAGAAAAAGCCAGTGACAGCGCCTCTTTTGTTAGTAGTAGCTAATATCTAGGACTGGAGACTGGCTAATTCCAAAGCCGATGCTACAGATTACAGACAGAAGAAGCTGCCGGGGGTTAGTATGTCGGCATTGGCATTTGATGCACTGACAATGAGAGTGTCAACAACAAATGTGTAAATAGGTTTGGCCGTTTGGATTACGTAGGCATAAAAGACAACCCTCTGGTGCCAAGTCAGACAACCTTGTTCCTGGAAGCAAGTCCACCACTCGGGGCATATGCACCTTTTCGATGTTGACAAGATTTGGTCGCTCAATAAACCCGCATGCACTGCTCGGGGCGGAGGAGGAATGCCCGTGACATGGTTTGAAGATCTTCAATCGTAATCCTCCATGGACACGTCTGATACCTCATCGGCAAAATCTTCCTCATCAAACGCACCGTCTTCCTCACCCTGTTCGGCGAATTCTTCCTCCGCCATCTCGCTCGTCTCGTCGCCAGTACCTGTCGTCGCTCTCCTCGCCTTCCGTGAGGCCTGCTCCTCGCCTAGATCCATAATTCTTACCAGGCCGGACCCCATGGCAGCGGCTGCCCACCAGCTACACTCGATATTTGGGTTCCATGCGACCGACGTGATGCGTGTCAAGGGGTCACAATTTACCACATCGCCCGATCCTCTGCCTGCCATGTCTTGATCCAGGTCACTTCCAAGCTCGTCGTCCTCAGGATCGGCCTCAGCAGTCGCTTGCTTGCCCTTGCCCTTGGGCTTCTTGGTGTTTTTCCTCTTCTGCTGTTCTTTCTTCTTTTGTGCATTATGCCTCTGTCGCATTTGGACGCCGCTCTTATCATGTCTCGGATGTGCATTTTCAATGGGCTTGAAGCCGTGAAGGATTCGGCAAGTTCCACGGCGTACCTCTTCATCGCCGTCCTGCGTATCTTTGGCCTCTGTCGCCAAAGCTTGGTACTCATGGTGGAATAGCTTGATTTTTCTGTGCTTCTTTTTGAAATAAAACACTCGCCGGAAAGGGTTGGAAAGCCACAGCGATCCATCCGTCGACCCGACCAACAGGTATGGGTGACACGATCCAATTGCCATGCAACTGGGCTGCCCAGAAATCGCCACAACGAATCGTGATTGAGGCCAAGTGCGTATTGACATGAAGGAGAGAGCGATATTGGCAGGTGACGAAGATGACCACAGTGAAATGAAACCACGCATGTGCTCAGACCAGACCAGCAAGTTGGGTTGAAAGTTAACAATGAGGTTTGGCACGTAGACAAGTTCGGCATTGGGCCGGTTCAAGTCTGTCACAGTGGTCACACCTCCGGTCGGAGCAGAGGCCACGATGAATGGATGCGACGGGTACCCCGACTTGACATCCAGAACTGGGCTTGAATGCACTGGATGGCGTTGCAGCAACACACAGGGATACAGAGACCACACTGCCAAGGAGCCATCCGAACAACCTACGCATATGCGGTTCATGTTCACCCATGTGAATGAGGTTATATCAATCTTGTACTCAGATTTGAGCTCAAGGGTGGTGAGGGTCTCCCGAATCTCTTCTACACGATATAGTCGTTAGCCTTGTTTACCGAAATGATCAATCACCAGGGATGCCTACCAAAAGTCTCGCGATTCCTATCGCTCCAGGATTGTTTCACCTCCACCACCCGTACAATTCCGTCAGTTGTTAGAAAGGCCAGTAGGCCAACCAAGTTGCCGACTGTGAGTGGCACAGGGCACCACTGCATGCGCACAACTCGGCCCCATCCATCGAAACATAACGATGCTACACGATATGGTGGTGATTGCTTAAGGGCCATGGTTCCATTTCCCCCTGTCTGGGCAGGTATTGTCCATATCTGTATACTGCCTTGTTTCTTGCTTTCTTCTGGGGGCGCTTCTTCAGGTGTTTGGTAGAAAGCTTGGTCCGAGTATGGTATAATGCTCATGGCCAAGAGCTGATCGATAGATCCAGTCCTAGGCGCCCAATCCATGGCCAAGGTGATGCCACCAACATCGAGCAGCCAACCACCAACGGTCTCTTCTGACGATGACTCTGTGGAGGAGGGACTGCCCTCGAGCGAGAGTTGAATGTTCTGACCCTGATGGATTTTATGCTTGGTCTGATCATTATGCGGCCCGAGGAACGCCGTTAACTCTGTGGCGGCTTTGGGAATGAACCAACGCTGGGCGATGCTCTGCTGGAGGATTTGAGACTGTGAAGAAGACTGTCTCGTGGATAAATAATTAAAATACCAATCGACAAGCTTCTTCTGCTGATCTTCCCAAAATTTCAGAGAAGACCAAGGTCCTTTTGCAATCCTCTGATCATTCCTTGACACAAGTTTTGGTGGAAATAGGTCGTAGGGCGTCCACATAAGAATAAAGGAACTAATAATCTTGCGAAAGTCGTTTCGATCGCCATACCAGTAAGCACACAACTGTCCTAGATGCACATGGCGAGAGACGGGGCCTATGTACGACCGCGTCCATTTCATAGATGGCTCACCCGGATAGGGTTGGACCTCGCCGAGTGACCGTTTGCCGGCTCTATCCTTGCCGTCCTTTTCGTCCTTGATCTTGGCGCTGAAAACATCAGGGCGAGGTCGTCTTCGGGGCTTCTTCTCAACGTCTGAGAGAACCTCGCCCTCTCCCGAGTCCGAGCTGGCGACGAGCTCGGCATTGTCGAATTTATCATCATCGTCTGGCTCGCCATTTTCTGCCGGGTCGTCGACGAATCCATCGTCGGAGTCATCATTCTGCCTCTGCGTAGCTTTCCGCAGATCCTCCTCGTCCGAAGAGCCAAGATCCGACAGGTAGGCTTGCTGATGAAAGCGCTTTGCCTTGTTTGACTTTCGCGTCCTCATTGTTGGGCACAAACAGAGACACTGGCGCGCTGTGCGGGAACGAATATGTCGTTGTCGAATCCAGCTTGGACCCGAAAGTCACAAGCTCTTGTCAAGCCAAATTGCCGTTCAACGCCACATCCCATTGACAAGAGTTGTGCACCTTGGAAAATTTGCCGACTTCTCAACTGCGTGTATCAGGGCGCCAACAAGTTTAGTCTTTTGTATGTCGCTGTAAGCTCTCGAAACCGGGGTGAAACTGAGCTGTGCAGTCGAGGTTTAAATCGAAGCTGCTCCTGCCAGAATTATCGTATGCCAAGACTTCTATCTCAGCAAGTGTGGCCTAAGCTTTCGAGATAGGAGTGGGGCCACCTCAACTTGGTAGGAATCTCAAGCCATTCATGGCTTTTATACCTCCATTCGGCAACCACCCAATTTTGTAAAACAACACGCCATTTCTTTTCTTTTCCCGACTTATTTTACCAACCACATCAAATTTATCGTGGATACATTCTTGACATTTGAGGATGTTGGAACCGGTTTTTCCATCATGACAAGAGACATGTCTGATCAACCGACAGCTGGTCATTTCAATCCATCCCTACATTCGAGCCGCAATGAAGTCATTGCAGCGGCACAGAACTTAGACATGACGATATCATTATCTATAATCATCAGCCCAAGGACTTTGGTAACGTTGTATAAATAATGAGTTTCTCCAACTTGCTTCAAGAGACGCAGATTGTCCCGTAGTCTTCTTTGGCATCTTCCAATACCTAGACTACTTGATTCATTAACCTCCCATTGCTGCAACTGCCGACACGATGTTGAAATCAATATCCTTACTCTTCTTTCTCCTTTCAGCCGGCTCTGCAGGTGTCATTGAGCCCCGCGATGGTAAACTTTTCCTGTCAACGTTTGATGACTACCAGGTCCCCGACGAGCGTGCGAATAGAGTCGATCAGTCCATTGGTATTGTCAATGGAGTTGACTTTACGAATATGAGTAAGATCATGTAATCACTATTCACCGGTTCCCGAAATACTGACGCATCTTCTTCTTAGACTACCTCCGTCCTGTTGCAAATGGAATCAACAATACTTACGCGGCACCCTCTTCTCCCAACGTGGCCGCCGTCTCCAGTGATTTTCAGGCCTACATAACGGTCAACTATGAAGGCAGTACGCTAGCTGCATTAGATTTTCAGATCTTCCGATGGGGTTGTGTGGTTGGGGATCGCATCAATCAAAGCGACGATCCAATAGAGGTAACCGGGATATATCCTGGGTGTACCTTGACTCTCACGGCATTCAAAGGGGCCAATCAGGTTGCCCAACAAACATTCCGTTCCACGACGACTCGGCAAACGTGTTCAAACTGCACTACCGTGTCCTTGATATCATCTTTCATATCAAATCAAAACTTCAGAAAGGCCGACACTATTACCTTCAGAGCTACATTTCCAAATCCTGTGGGCGATCAGCAATCGACCGCTTTCTATCTCGACGACCTTCACATGACAATATATCCAAAGGTTTAAGATACAGGAGTGTGCTCCATGGGGTACTCGCCATTTATATCTATCAAATAGTTATAAATCAACATTATCCCTTAAATTTACCTTGAACATGTGATGACACAGATACTTGATTAACTCCAAAATAATCAAGCGATCTAAAATTTGAAATTCATTTCTTGTATTGATATATACGTAGTCTATCATGAATATAGCAGATCTAGCATTGAGTGCCCATCACTGTGTGATGATTGTCGAATGCATTTGCCATTCCCTTCAGATGCGCCGCCGCGGCGAACAGAATCAATATGTGAAACAGTTGGTGGGAGCTACCCCAGATATCAAAGGAACCGGGTGCGCTTCGTTCCGGCCATCTTATCTGGAATGAGGTTAGTTTCCATGGCTTTTGTAAAGATGGAGAACGTAAAAGAGAACTTACGGCGTATAAAAATGCACCGAATATGTATAGGAACCCTTGAAGTAGAACCCAGTTGAGTCCCATACGCCTTTCCAGATCATGGTATCCGTAAATGAGGACGCCCTGACATACAGGCAGCACCCCCGAGAGACCGAGCCCGACGAACATCATCGCCCGATAGGGCCTCCATTTTGGGGTGCGAAACTTCTCAACCCAGCTGACAATGCCGCATCCGAATCCCAACAAGAATATCTGTTGCTGTCAGTGACCGGTCCTTTAGTATATACTGCCATGAAAATCAACACTTACTCCGTACAAGTACATCGTCATCAACCGCGGCATGCAGAACAGGCCATAGTACAAAGCTGGCACATAACTTCCTACAATCAAGGCCACAATCCCCGAATAGTCCAGCTTGTTGCCCCATTTTGCGACGTCAGGGCTGTGGTTGCATAGCATGTGAAAAGTGGCACTCATGCCGAGACAGACGGCAGCGCCGCCAAAGAAGCAGCTAAAGACCACAATGTCGCTGCTGGTCGCGCTGGGGTATCGCGGAGCCACGATGCTGTACAAGAAGAGCCCAACGAGAGGAAACGTCAGACAGCCGAGCAAGTGCGTCCATATATTGACGGACTCATTGTGCAGCCAAAACAGGGACTTGAACGATCCAAAGTACGAATTGGACGACTGGCGGTAGCCGGACAGGATGTAGGCATTATCGCGTCGCCAGGCGGGCAGGTCGTCCCAGAGAAGCAGCAGAGTGCGCTCGACTTTGGCTTCGACTTGCTTGACTTTGGAGACCACGGTGTCGGCGGCGGATGCGGACGGCCGGCGCTGCCGGAGACCTGACGTTGTGTTGTCCGGCGCGGCGCCGGAAGCGCTTTCGGCAGTCATTTCGACGTCTAGAAAATGAGAGAATTGAAAACTCTAATCCGCAAAACCAAACTGCATAAAAATCTGGACAAAACAAAGAACTCAAAATAACAAAAGTATGGTTTTGAATGATACGATGACGAAGGATGGCCCACTCGAAAGTGTCCACGTCCCTGGTCTTATTATTAGTCGATCTTGGTTTGTTGGGAATCTCGCGGCCTACGTTTGTTCGCACATGCAAAAAATAGATCCTCAACACCTCTGGCCGCCGAGGCATACAAATTTGACTCAAGTCATAGGCTCTATGTACCATTCAACGATTTCGGCATCTGCAAGCTTTTCTTCTTCTTCTTTTATGACTTTTGAATCATTAATGATTCTTTGCACTATTGCGCTGAGAAGGCCTGTTTGCATTCTGCGACCCCCGGTATCTACTTTCGCCTCTTTCGCCAAATTCCAAATGGAGTAGCAATCAAAGGAGATAGAGCACTCGGCTGCGCAACGATACCTACACGACTCGGGATTGTAGATGTGATATTGGAGCATGCATCGGGCTTTATAACCATGATATACACAAGATGCATGCAGATCGTCTGAGAATGGTTCGTTATGTCATATTGTCTCTAGCTGTATCGCATATGTAACTCCGTCCCAAAACCGCAAGCTCTCTGAAGCCGAACGCGCTTTCTTAATTGCGTGGCTCGACATTTGCAGGTATGTAATGTACTGAATGTCTGCTTTATTTCTTGCCGCTCTTCTTGATTCCCTGGTTGCCAGTGTTGAGAGGGCCCTTCCCTCCTGCCTTGGAGGCCATGTCCTTGCGAGCCTTCTCCTCTGTCCAATATGTTAGTGCCCTGCCGTCGCAAGCCGTGGGTTTATTATCGGGGTTCGAAGTCTGGTCATACCGGCTCTCTTCTTCTCAAGGAAGGCCAAGTCGTCCTCGTCGAGATCCTTGGCAGTCTTCTTGGCGGCCTTCAAGGGCTTCACCTTACCACCTGTGTGAAAGCGCAAAAGTCAGTTGAAATGGAATCTTATCGGCACGGCAGCATGGAGGCGGGGCAAAAAAACTGGACGATCTATCGCAGCGCATCGTACATACCTTCTCTGTTCTGGCCACCCATTTTGATATTTCTTTTCTGATCGTGTCTAGAAGCACTGCGAGGTGATTGTGTTGTATATTTTAGAGAAAACGACGCGGAGGCGAAGAGGCAACCAAGGGAGAAGGTAAGCAGCTCTGGTAGAAATTCAGGGTCTCGAGGTTGATCAGAGCGACGCGGACGGTTGCGACCGCGGGGCAATGCTTTTTCAGTGGCACGCAGTTGGCAAATCGATACTAGCTAATAGGTACATTAGGCGAGTAACGGTTGTGTCAGATACCCGGAGAAATTCCGCCGCCATCTTTTGATCCCACTGGAGACCTCCAGGGCTCGTGGCGGCCTAGCTCGGATGTAACCCACTGAAAGCTGCGAGGCTCTCCGCCGCTGACTGCCCTACCAAAGCCCAGCCTCACCTTCAACTCCATCATCGCGTTCACACCCTAACCCCTCAGCACCAACACCATCACAGACATCCTAGTGTATATCGCCAAACATCAAGTCCGCTACTGCATCTACGAACGCGCGAACGCGAATCCAGAGAACTCTTGGCAATTTTCATTGAATCAAAACCGTGCCCAGTTGGTCGGCTGACGATTCGCATCGCGTTGCACAGCCCACATGACGAGCCGTGATGCGCAGTAGATGAGAAGAGAGAAACATCCCGGTTCGACACATTTTCTACGCTCAAAAGTATATTCTGGCCTCATTGCTGACCCGTTTGTTTCAACTTTAAAGACAGGGACTTTCTCTTGTCCTTAATTTTGCTTGGTGGTCGTGAAACAAGAAACGCAGAGCGCAAACATGGCTTCGTCAGCTAGCTCTGACGAGGGCGAGATCATTGAAACCGGGGTTGGTTCAGGAGATACTAAGGCAACTTCACTGCCTCAGATTAATGGAACTGGTGTTGACCGTCCAGACAGAAATCGAGTCAGATATTCGAAATCAAGATCCCCCGATTACGAGACTGCTTCGAGATACAGCCAGAACTCCTCATCGCGCCAACGCAGTCGCTCCCCGAGGGGCTTCAAGCGCTCACGCAATGATCATGAGTTCTCTCGAGGCGGACGACTGAATGGAGACCCGCGCCAATTCCGAGTACATTATGAGGATGCTCGTGATTCGCGCCGCTCGCGCTACACCTACGATGATGACGATAGGCCGCCGTCCCGCTCATCTGCTTCGGGCCTTCGCTATGACGACGGCGATCGACCTAGGGATCACGATAGGCCACGCGACCATAAACGCGAACGCGATCGTGACGGCTACCCAGACAAGAGAGCAAGAAACCGCACAAGATCACCTTATCGTGCTCCCAAGGGCGGTAGAGACCGAAGCGACCGAGATGGACGAGATGGCAATCGCTACAATCGAGCCACCGATAAGGAACGAGATTCATACGTTCGAAACGGTCAACAGGGCACACCGAGACATGAAATGACTGGGCGGACGGTGAAGGCAGGACGTGACGCTTACCGAAATGATACTAAACTTTCCACGGCATCCGCGGAGGAAGACATGGCAGCATCATTTGACGATCAAGTTACAATAACTCAGGAAGAGATTCCCGAGGAAGAACCCCTTGACGAAGCCGCCGAGATCGAGCGCCGCCGCCGCCGCCGCGAGGAACTCTTGGCGAAGAATCGTGGTCCAACGCCAATGCTTGTTCAAGCTCTGCAAGGAGCTGAGAAAGCTGCGGCATCCTCTCCGGCTCACACTCAGCAGAGCACACCATTGGTCACTGAAGGCAATACTCCTCGCTCTGGTACGACGAATTCTAGTTTGCATGCTGTAAATGGCGCTAACGATTTGTCAGTGGTATCGTCCCCATCTTCTCCTGCACCAGGCATGCAAGAGGGCATGTCTCCCGCTGCACTTGACATCGCTAATGACCAGGACCTCATCAACACGCATGGGCGTCCGCAAACTGCTGATGATGATGATGATGACGACGGACCCTCCGCAGCGGATTACGACCCGACTGCTGACATGAGAGAAGACGAAAAGCGCGATGGGCTGCGTCATGGCCATGTAGGTCCTCATGGCGAGATACTACCTTCAGATCAGAAAGCGGAAATTGCCCCAAAGTCGAAACCACAGGTCAAGGATTCTACTGAAGATGATGACGACGACGACTTTGACATGTTTGCCGAAGATTTCGACGAGGACAAGTTTGCTGCACCAAAACCTGTCATTCAACCCGAGAACGTTGTTGAAGACGGCGCTATCCCTGGAGCAATAGCTCAAGCAGGTGCCGGTGCTATTCTCGAAGGCGACGACAAGGAAGGTTATTACAAGATTCGTATTGGAGAGATCATGAATGGTCGCTACCAGGTTCAGGCAACTCTCGGCAAGGGTATGTTCTCTGGCGTCGCCCGGGCCGTGGATATCACAAACAAGCAAATGGTCGCCATCAAGATGATGCGAAACAATGATGCTTTGAGAAAAGGTGGGTTCACGGAGATTGCCATTCTGCAGAAACTGAATGAGTCGGATCCGGAGAACCGCAAACACATTGTCAAGTTCGAACGATACTTTGAGCACAAAGGTCATTTGTGCCTTGCTTTCGAGAACCTCAGCTTGAACCTGAGAGAAGTACTGAAAAAGTTTGGCAACAATGTTGGCATCAATCTCAGTGCCACTCGATCGTATGCGCACCAAATGTTTGTGGCTCTGGCGCACATGCGCAAATGTTCCATCATCCACGCTGATATTAAGCCTGACAATATTCTGGTACGTTGATTCACATTTATTTCTTCAAGGCTCTTGCTAACAAATTGTCTAGGTCAATGAAGCTCGCAATATTCTCAAAATTTGTGACCTGGGCACCGCTATCGACAAGTCAGATGCAGCAACAGCACACAATGAGATCACGCCATACCTGGTCAGTCGTTTCTATCGAGCGCCTGAGATCATACTCGGTGTACCCTATGATTACGCAGTCGATATGTGGTCCATTGGCTGTACCCTGTACGAGCTTTACACTGGAAAAATACTGTTCACCGGCGACAGCAACAATCAGATGCTCAAAACCATCATGGAAATCCGTGGCAAGTTTAGCACAAAGCTCTACAAACGTGGGCAGCTCTGGCAAATGCACTTCGACGATCTCGGCAATTTCATTAGTGTCGAGCGAGACAAAGTTCTAGACAAGGTATGTTGATACAACACTATTTTCTATCGCCCCCTCCTCTCGTTAAGGCAGCCTCCTTATGTCAATGCGCCCTTCTGCTATTGGCGCTACCTGCAGTCGCCTGCAGCTCATCATGCAGTTTCTATTTTTGTATGATGGCGGCGGCTAGGAGTCTTGCGGTAGCAAGCGCTCGGCACGACCTTGACCTCAGTGGGCCGGTCTGTGTATGCTTGGAGTCGATGCATCAAGGGATGACATGTAAATCAACCTAGTTCATCGCCATTGGCGTTACCTCTTGGTTGAGACAAGTCTGTCAGCAATCGAAGTATAATCGGTCGTCTGATGACCATGCATGAGCCGGAGATTTTTGAATCCTTTGGCCATTCCCACCCCACGTAATTGGTTCAATCGTGTGGCGGCGTACTGGCGGTCTGCAAAGGGCGCATGTTCTATCTTCCAGCTTTCATTTCACAGCCAATACCCGGCTCAATGATTCTGCTCCTTCTTTTGTCCCCATTTTGGCCAGATGTCTTCTTGCTAACTTGTGCTGGGTACAGACGAACGTGAGGACTATGGCCATCGTGAAACCGACCCGGGATCTGCGCACACGCCTCACTGCGGCGTCTGGCGGTATGAATGATGCTGAGACTAGGGATCTCAACCATTTTATCGACCTACTCGAGCGATGCTTGGCGCTAAATCCAGACAAGAGGATCACCCCATCAGAGGCACTCAAGCACCCCTTCTTTTTGAGGGCATCCAGCAGATAGTATCAAGGGCATACGTACGCAAAGCAAAAGAGACCGCGTGAAAAAAGTCACTCGAACGTGGGTAATCAGGGGACGTTTATGGTAGCATTATTGTAAGCAAACGATCACCTAGTCAAATCCGTTTGCGTTACATGGCCCACAGGCATTGGTATAGAGTCTAGGAGAAATCAACCACTAGGTGTCTGTATTGGTACACTCAGGGGTGGTGCATGTATTGACGTTCCTGGAAGAATGAACGCAAAATCATACAAAACTGAGCAGCTCTATTCTGATTCTCAATGAACTATCCGTGACAGCAGGACCAACATTCTGTTCCCATTGTGATATGCCCGCAACGAACGTTATGTCTCCAACGGACAGACTATTTGTGTAGGAATCATTCCTCAATTCTAACTCGACAAAGGATCGAGCCTCGCATCTATGTCATGTGAAAGTGGTGTAGTTGCGCATTCACAATCAACACAACCCCAGTCCGTCATATCAGCTGCGAAGGATCGCAGTGGCGCATCGGCTGCTCGCCGCTCGTGTGGGATCTTGTGCGGTTTTTTCGAAAGTAACATGTGCAACTGTGCTTAACCGCCCAATCCATTCTCTGCACATGCCAACCGTAATATGATTCCAACCCAATCTGATTTGCCTATTAAAGCTTTTTGGAGCCAGGGAAGATGACTCTACCTGCCTCCCTCTGCCTATTGCTCATTCCACCCAAATGTATTCGCGTAGGGCGAGGAAGGATCGCCATCCCTGTTTGGTTCATCGGAGCCTTGCATCATAACCCAAGGAAGGCGTTCGTGGCGTAAAGCGAGCTCCCGCAAATCATTCGTCCACGGTCCAAGATTTTCTCACCCACAGGTGCGAAGCGACCGTTGCAACAGCTGCTGCCCTTTGGAGATGGGGGCTAGTGTCATGTGCTGCTGCTCTTGTCCTCTCTCTCTGCCATCCCTTTTGCTATCCCTAGGTGATTTTCCGTGCTGACAGGAAGCGGTCGGCGGAAGGGGCAGGGCGGGTGCGACGGGAAGGATTCAGCTTTTTTGGCAAGAGAATCCTACACTAGGTAGAATCCAGCTTCTCTCCGCGCTGTCCACGAGCGCCGTATGGCTTTGCGTCACGGCAAGACTGCGCAATGTTGTATCTTTGCAACGGGGCGTGGGGTTACCGGCTGGACGTTTTTTTTTCCTTCTATGCATACTACGCATACTACCCAACCTGCATTTTGAAGGATCGAGGAAACAAAAGGACCTTTGGAAAATCTGGAAAGCTGCAGAGGTTCGAATATTCCACACAGATCTGTCTAGAACCGGCCCCACGGGACCAAGATAACTTCCTAGTCGCCCTTCTTGAGGACGGGGGGTGGTTCCCAAACGCATGGGTAGGGCACAGATCAAAACTTGACAGTTGACAGGTTCAAGTGTTTAGTTTTCCATCTGAATTGCATGACGTTTTGCAATCCTTTGGACGGTCGATCCGCAAGGAGATCACAACACCGCCGCCTCGGCGCCTCTCCCTGCGTACGCGTCCGTAGCGAAGCGCGGGCTGACCGCAGATTGCGTAGGCACGTACTTCTGTATCCGGTGCGTCCATCAGGGCTTTATCCGGAATCCTTTCATCGCCACAACTGGAAATATACTTCTTCATGTCAGACCTTTAATTTGTTTCTACTACCTAGGGAGCATGGTGTTTGAACGGAAGCGTTGGATTTAGGACGTGGATTCACTTGAAGGCTGCTCATTCGCATTTTGCAAAAGGCTTGATAGCCCTGCCCAAAAGTTTTGGTAGGATATTGGCGCCTGCGTGGCACTCCTGGGCGGGAGTATAGTGATCCGCCTTGGGAAATCGAAAGCTCTATTTTTGGTCTATTTGGCCTACTCCCCTGAACTTGGATCTTTCAGTTGGATTTCGACCGTAACGAGTCTTGTTTACAAAGTTGATCCATGGGGATCTCGCAAGAGAAAGTCACGGGACTTTGGGGGTGTGCGTCCAGGTGGACTCGCCCTCTCTCTCAGCCTTCTTGGATCCTCCATCTCCGTTTGACTTGTGTACCCATAACCACGAAATACAACTAAGCTAGATAGTCACTGCCGTGCTCATGTGGGTGGTAGCTATGTTACGGCTACACCTTTGAGTATGGGCTTCTGCATAACAGCCCCGTTGTTGACCAAGCACATACACGACGTCAACTACTCTGTACATGCACTGCACTGCAATACAATACAGATAGATCTATTGGAGCCCTATGACGGCCCGTGCGATGTTTCAGTGTTTTCCTTGTGCTCGGCGACACCACCGTGAGTTCGCCCCCCTCCGATATCAGCAAATGACAATATAATCACCTTTCACATAACGGAAGGGTGGTCTCCACATCACAACACAACATCAAAACATGACAAATGACAAGGCAGGGTAGTGTGTAAGACGGGCTGGGTCACAGAGTAGGTATGTAGTCCCAAGTGGTCATATCTCGGTCTGTGATAGATGGGTAGCCGCCCAATATCATTTACCGTCTTGGGAAAATAGGCAATATTGCACAGATGGAACGTCTAGGCCAAACGCCGTTTGGTCACATCAACGTTCTATAGGATGTTGTCGAGGTTGGTGGTTACGAGAGCAATCTAATCGCACGTCTAGATTCCTGCCCGAAACGATATCCTCCATCACTTGGGAAAAGAAATACTCAAAGCCCTTTCCAAAAGCCCCGCGCCTCAATTAATGCCGTGCCACACGCGAGACGATAATTGGGGAGGCGCACAACACAAGCAGGTTGGTATAGAACAAAGTGACACGGCATTACCTCTCTCGGCTCGAGCGACATGAGAAAATGGAGAGGGCTGTGCTGATGATCTGAGCAAGTTGACCAATCCAAAGGAGGGATTTTCTTTCTTTTTTTTTTGTTTCCTTCCATGTTGCTTTCTTTCCTATCCGTCGTGTAACAAGAGCACGCTCCTCCCGGGGCGGGTGCTTGAGGCTTGCGGGCGCCAACGACGTTGTGCGGCCATAACATTTGTAAGCTGAAAGGGCAAGCAGCCATTTTCACGTCATGCTGTGCGTCCTTCTCTTCCCTCCACAAGCTCCTGTACGACTGTACCTATTGGATGAAGTGACAAAGGTCGCGCGCTTGCGAGACAAAAATTTCCCCTTCTCCAGCTGCTTGTTGTCTGCAAGTTAATTCTTCTGCTCGCAACGGCGGCTTGCGAATATCGTCTTGCGAGGAAATCTCCGGTGGCAAGGAGCCTTTCTTAAATCACAAAATCTTAATATAGCGGAATTCCAATCATATTGCACAGGTTACGCTACTAACAGCATGACAGGTTCTCGTGAGATTTGACCATGCATTTCAAGAGAAAGTCATTATAACAAGTGTTACCGGCCCTTTTTTTCTTTCATAAGCAAGCCGAGCCGAGTCTAAACATTGCTTTACACGTGCTTTCTCGTTGAGAGCGTGGCCATGTTGTTCAAAAGTCTGAAGTCTACAGTTAATCCTAGTCGACACGATTTAAGAAAGAAAAAAAGAAGAAGGGGAGGCGAATATCATCACAGGATCTCCCCCGGATTCATCAGACTCAAAAGAAACGCCAAAGTATGTGATATTGAGCCACTCGGAGAAAATAGAGACGAGAACCAGTGAAGAGTGCCCACATCACGTTGCCCAACGAGAAGTCTAAAACTGTAGTTGATTTCTTTTTGTTTTTTTCTGCTCGTCTCGCCTCGTCGCGTCGTTTCTTTTCTCTTCAAAAGCGAGGGGTTGCAACGCTCTCCAGTATACTTGGGGCTACTGTAGTCTCCAAAGTGACAAGTCAAAGGGCTGCATATTGGGGACCCGTGGCGGCATCCTCTCGCACCAGCCTCCGGAATGTCCGGCGGCTATCCGTCGTCCCACGACCGCCGGCCTTTCGCTTTTTCTCTTTTCTTTGGCGAGCTGCGGCCATCCGGACTATGACCCGCCAGCCCTCTTTCATTCTCCCCCCGAGCAGGCCGGCGCGACACGTCAGATACTTGACGAGCCCGCGCACTAGCTAAGCGATGGCTAAGATGGGCTGTGTTGGTCAATGGGGAGTTATCAGCGGGGAAAAGAAAGAAGAAAAGCTGTTTATCGAGTAGTGCAACCCTCAGCTCATATGCACCCGATAATGCCGATTTGTCGATTTTGCCATGGTTTGAACCGAGTGAACCGGACTTTTCTTGCAATGTAAGTTCGTGACTTGTGTGACTGTATAGTGGCTCCCGAACAAACTGTCAAGTCATTATACTGCATACTTGTCGTTTATTCAAACTGTACAGATGCAACTAGGCAAGTCGAGACCAGTCACCATTGATGAGCCTGTTGTCATAACGCTTCCTCCGGGGCACAGGGAAAGATTCAGGCAGGTCCAATTTGGGCCATGCAAGTGATCAGTGGGCGAACTTACAAAGAGGCCAATGCAATGTACTTGATGCATGGTGAGGGGATCACCTCCCTCGGCAAAGCAAGAATAGCCAACGGTATTCTGTAGTATGTACGAGCTATATTCGGGAGTAAGAAGGCATGGTAGTCTGCGTGGTCACAGTCACGTGTTTGTATATTGCCAACGGCGCGATCGGATCGAGCGGCGCGTGGAAGGACGAGCGAGGCACACTGTAATATGGGATGCAGTGTTTGGGGCCAATTTGATTCGAGTAAGCAAAAGCATGAAACTAGGCGACCCTACCTACATAGCGGCACTATAATAGTATTCGCCTTTTTGATACCATTTTGAACAAAAAGTCAAATAGAGCAAATCCTTTCCCGTGAGCACGCGTCCCTCACGTGCTTACTGGTCGCTAGCTGCATCGCCCGGCGTAAATCTTATACGTTGTGTATTTTTTTTTTTCTATTCCTTCGCCCGCCCTCGCATTGCCGATTGTCGCATGAGGATTATTAACAAGCCACTTGACTCGTGACCAAACATTATGCAGCTTCCCCCCGAAAGGCGAAGTAGCAAAAGAAAACGACGCCATGCTCCTGCCACTTTCTTTCACGATCGACC